TGGTGTTGGAACTGCACATATATTGTATACAGCTGGGCTTACACTACAAATGTCTTGAAAATACCAGTTTGTGTGGTTTGATTGCCCTTTTGTAAACTCTTTTTCCTCAGAAAGACAATATAAAGCTTTAAAGTGCATTAAAGTTTATTATGGATGGACCCAGTGTTTGGATAATTCATGCTCCGGAGTTAATAAGTTGTGCTTCTAAAAAATAACTTTATGTTAGTTAACTCCGACAACAGTAACCACTTATCACATGTAATTTTTTAGTCCAATCAGCTCACTGTACGCCTGCAAATGTCCATATCTGTATTAAACGTCTATTTTTTTTACTCTCTTAGGAATTGCAGATGGTTGGCCAGTAAAGGCTTTCATTAGAAGTAGCAATTTTAAAACAATAGCTATGATGTCTGTAATGGTCTCAGATTTTTCAGATTTTTCAGATATGTCAGCCCTGATAACTGTCTCAGTCTATTGTGATTGTCATAATGTACCCAGTGAACTACACAAGACCAAAAGGTTATGTTTTCTCTCAGACCCTCTGCACTTAAGTATTCTTATCATATTTGTAGGCCAGGCTAAATCTGTATGATACTAATTTTGATTGTGGAAGCTTAAATGTAGCATTAGGAAAACAGTCTCTCCAAAGTGGGTTATGGCCCGTTCCTCCTTCAGGACAAGAAAATGTTTTGACTGACTGCAGTAGTTCAGCAGTAGGCATTCTCTACACTGTAAAAGTCAAGAACCGTTGTTATTTTCTTTGGTTGCCTGTTGAAGAAAGCATTGTATCTGCACTCTGGTGTGACGGCCTTCACTCTGTATTTTCTTGGAGCTAGTTCTCTGAGTAGAGCTGTGTGGACAAAGTCACTTCTGCTGTCGACCTTGACAAATGCTCTCTGACTGACTTTGTCTCTTTGTATCTCTGTGCTCATCACTCTCCCATCACTGCGAGCGAAAAATACACAAGATGTTACTTCAATGAATTGTCCTTTTATACTGACTGATGAAGACTGCAGTGAAACTATGCGAGTCCTTACCGTACAGTTCAGTAGCCCAGCAGTAAAATCCAATTTGTTGCTGTTGAAGTTTTTTTAGGCACCTGGTCGGTGTTTTCACTAAGTGTTAGTTGTAATCAGTTATGGCATTGCATCGTGTTTATGATTCACTCACCAGCAATTCTGGTGGCTAATGTAAATCTCAGCTTCAAAGGTGGCTCCATAGATGAGTCATTTCAATTGCAATTAATATGAAATGTCAGCTTTAACAAATGCCTGACTGTCATTATATTTGTAAGTACAGTTTAAAGTACTTACAGGATACATTAGAAAGAAGATATGTTTACATACTGTAGTTTTGGCTGTATTGGTCACACCACACTTCAATCGGTGTTGGGCAAATTTGCATTAGATTCTGATGTGTGCTTATTTCCTGAGTACTCAGTGGTTTGAGGCTGATGTTGGGCATGTAAACACACTGAAAGCACAGCTGATATGAGAGCCAGATAAGAGGGACTCGTGAATGTTCACTGTTACGGTCCATTTAACCCAGTGTACTGTGGGATATGGAGTCTTTTGTCCTCTTGTGTAAACGTTGGCCACAGACCATTTGAATAGGACATTCGCAGGGCACCGTCAGTCAAGAAGTGTGTGCCTTTCCATGACACACATATTAATGAGATCTACAACTGTTTCATTGACAGAGGTGGAAGATGTTTCGTACTAACTTCTGGATCTTCAGTGCCGTTTTGTTTTACTCTTCTTTAGTTTCTCTACTTTCTTTAGTCACAGTTCATTCCCTTAAGCAACATAGAGGTAGTGTCACAGTAATGATGATCTCTTTTTTTAGGCTTTTAGATTTTGTTTGGATTCACAACTCATTGTGTATATATATTTATTTATTTTATTTATTTATTTTTTTCCGCGGTTTCCCTCAGGATTATTTCTGCTGTTTTCTTCTCGTCTTCATCACACACCTGTATTCTGCCCCTCTCTCTCTCTACCCAGTAGGTTTGGCATCCTCTTTGCCAGGCGTTCAACCAGAAGCGACAGCAGTTTTCATCACACACCTTCCCTTTTTCTAAACAGTAAACCATTGAAGAACAAAATGTGTATGTGTGTATGTGTGTGTGTCCTCTCCAGGGTTCCACTCTGTCATATTCATGTGCTTCCGCTGTTTTAACGGACGTCCCTGCTGTCACCATGGAAACATAGCTTTTTGACACAGCCTTGCAGGCAGGGTGTGTGTTTGTGCATGAAAGAGAATGTTTTCATGCAAGACTGTTCTTTGTGCGTGTGTGTGACAATGCTAATAAAGCACAGTGCCCAGATGAAGATGGGTCATCGTCTGCCTTTAATTCATCGATACAGATACCTGACTTTTAGAGCTGCAACAATAAGTTTATTAATCGATTAATTGGCAACTATATTGATAGAAAATAAATATTCTTTTAAGAAAACAACGTCCAAATTCTCTGATTTCTGCTTCTTGTCCTATGTGTCCTCTATGATAGTAAACTGAATATCTGGGTTTTGGGCAAAAGAGGACTTTTGAAGACTTCACCTTGGGCTTTGGGAAAAAGTCTGTCTGGAAAAAGTGCATTAGAAACACTTGGGTCTCCATCTTAAACTGTCATCATGGTGTTCACAAGCAAGGCATGCTGCCCACTGGGCTACGCTAAAAGATTGTTTGCTGTAGCTATAAAATAGTTTTTTTATTTTTCATCAGGATATTATAAATACTTTGGATGAACATGGACCAAAATGTAATGGAAATGAAACCTTAAGAGAGGACAGTGCAGTCATTTTCAGTTACAGCAACAGCTAAATGTCTAAAAGAGTCATTATGTAATGAAAACAATGATGGGTTTTGACAATCCACGTTTTCCTTGAGGGCGAAGAACAATTCAGGCTGACAGTAGGTGACAATAGATGTGTTATGTGAGGTGATGAAGGCTTCCTTCCTCTTGTCAGAACAAATGAACAGTTTGATTCCCACAGATTATATACTCAAATGAAAAAGTGACACAAATGGATACATCAGACTGTTTTAAGGTAAAAGGTTGGTTGAATTTTGGTTGATAAAACTGATGATGAGATTTCACTAGAAACATTTTCCCAAAAATAGCTAAATTAACTGTTCTAATGTTCAAATGTGTTTACTCTAAACAATAGATTGTCAGCCTCACTACAGTGATATTGTTTAATAACGTACAATGGGACATGATGGGCCAGTATTATTATGTGTGTTATTCTTGTGGGGTCACTGGAAAATTCCATCCTGGCTCTCGATTGATGTTTCCTGAAAAACATGTTTATTTTTTAAGAGTCTGCACGTATCTCCCTCCTCTCTGTCTGGCTCCACCACCTGCTGGGATGATTGACAGATTTAGTGACTGAAAGACTACTAAACTGAGTGACTCATTTGCTTACTGCCTGGCTAAATGTGTGGCTAGTTTACTTAAAGGCCTGCTCATTGGAATAACTAACTGACTAAATGAAGGGCCGGATGGAAGATCTATCTGGCTAGCTAATTGCTTTTTTTTTTTTTTTTTTATCTGTAATGATTTTGCTGGCTGGTTTTGTAAATGGGCTCCCAGGCTAATTCAGTTAATCAAATTCAGTGTCATTGTGTAAATGGGTTGACTGCCTGGTGACACCTGTCTGTCTGGATTTTTGGCAGGCTGGAAAAACCGAGAAAATCCAGCTATGTGTGACTGAAAGAGAAGAAGCAGAGAAGTGAAAGTGGGAGAGGGAGTGCTAGAGGGGAGGAGAGAAAAAGAGTACGTGGATGAAGAAGTTGAAGTGCAGAGAAAGAGAGAAGTTGGCCATATAATGAGTGAAGTGGGTGTGATGGTGAAGTGTCTGCTCTCATCAGTGCTCAGTCTGTGCTGTCCACATGGTGTGTGTGTGTGTGTGTGTGCGCGCTCATGTGTCAGACCACTGGGAGACACCACATACTACCATGTCCTTATAAGGAGAGCGTCTCCATCCATCCATCCATTCATCCACCCACAACATCCTACCTCTTTTTTCCCCCGCTCTGTTGCTGTGCAGGTTCTCCAAGGGAGGGATGGAGGTCAGCACAGATGAATGAGGACTATTTACTGTGACAGATGGGTCTGTCTCACTCTTCAGTCTCTCGCATGATAGTTTGTACCGTTGTCACCCAAATAAGAAAAAGAGACATCATACCGTTTGTCGTTAAGTGCAGATTATTGCAAAAAAAATAGTTGGTATTTCTGTTCACTAAACACTGTTTTTGGAGACTGTACGTACAGTAAGATGTATGAATAACCTGTTCCCCAGAATGGCCTGTACTTGTACTCGTGTGTAGGGTTGTTCCGGTACTAATAACTGTGTCGGAAATGCTTCCGATACAGCCTAAAACGTTGTCCGTGCATGTGCTGCACTCTTAGCAGTTTGATTTAAAATCATTTTTAATTTATAAAACACTGTTTCATTTTTTTTTTGTTTATAAAATGAACTTCAGATAATCCTATTAGTTTTTTGTTCTTCTGTTGGGTAATAAATGTCACATTGGATGTGCACTCATTTCTGACGGAATGTGACAATGCCATCTTTTTATTTATATTCTGCTCTCATGCTGGAGGGAGTTTCAGTACAGTACATCCCAGTGACCATTAGCAGCCACAGCTTGTCACAGGACATTTAATACGCCAGTGAACATGCAGCAGACACGGTCTTAATCAGCTTTATTTTGGATGAAACGAACAAGGGTGTAGGTTTCACTGATGAATAATTCAGTGTCTGTTTTGTGATGGGGGAGGGATGTATTTGTTTGCTGAATGCTTGAGGGGAAGTTGGTTAATATGAAAAGTTCATACTGTACCTGTCCGACTTGCAGGCGTATGATGTGCACATGGGCGATATGCACTCAAACACATTTTTAAAACATGCTGTCTGATCGTTTGTCTCCAGCATCATTTATTTCTGCTCAGTCCATATTGATTTTAACAGATTCCATCTTTTCTCTTCTCTCAGAGACAAAGAGAAAGCGGATGATATAGACAGCAACCCGAGGTCCTCCACCAGAGAAGGTACATGACTGACACACACACACACACACACACACACACACACACACACACACACACACACACACACACACACACACACACACACACACACACACACAAATTAAAAAAACATTTTTTCGGGGCTTGTGTAGTCATGTCTGAGTAATAGCACACTCTAAGCTGCCACTGAGGCACATCAGCCCAGCAACAATGCTGTGGTTTAGATGATTACAGTGGGATTAGCCTGCACTTGTTGTATTAAGCCCCAAACTTTCTCCCTGGTAGGCTGTTAAACTGTTAGTCCTCAGGGCTGATAAAGAGAAATACTGAATGATCAGTCTGTGTTTCTTGGATATGAGCATATTTTTCCCAAAATATCCACATCACACTATTCAATTTTGGTTCAAGTTTGCACTGACAAATGCCACCTGAAAAGACTCTTGAATGCCTCTTTGACTGCCTGTATTACAGGTGGAAAGAACACAAAACAGAATGGTTGTTGCATTCTTTAAATGTCTCCATGTCCATTTGTTTCAGTGACAGTGAATTTAGGCAACAATTGCAATTTCCATAATCAGTATAAGATTAAAACTACAAAGAATGTTCAGTCATTCTCCATCTGAGGATTAAGCATTTTTATATCAAGGAAAGGGCCGTGGGCTGCAAATGCCATGTTGTACTGGTAAATTAAAAAGTGATTGTATCAAGAGCATAACAAAATATAATTGCATGTTTAGAGATACTCTGCTACTAATAAGATGCAACTGAAGTCTCATGAAATGGAATTAATTACATTTTAGAGACTATAAAAGCAACATTGAGAACAGCTGTAGGTATTTTCTGTTGGCAAGGACAATTCAGTCTTTGCTCTGGTTTTTCTTTTGAAAAATAAAAGTTCAGTAAAGGTGACCTGTGAAGTTTTCTTGTAAAAAAAACAAAAGTTCTGTTTTACATTTGGTGTTCCTCACCAAAATGCATTGTGTGAATCCTTCAGTTCCAACAGACATGGTGAGTGTGTTTGCAAAGCCGAGTTTTAAAAATAATTGAAAGTGTGATTTGTTAATTTTTCTTCTTCTTTGCTGCCTTTGTTTGCACATAGCTATTTTTTGTCATGTTATGCCACCAACTGTTAATTGGCACAACAGCATGAAACCAATGGCAGGATGTTAATTGTGCCACCCACATGCTCAAGGATGCACTTCCTTTGCACAAATGGGGACCCATTCATAAAAAAAAAACCCCACTGCTCCATGGTAGTAGTAGTAGTGGTCGTAACCTTCACAGGGTACCTTAATTCAAGGAACTGTGTGAGAAATGGATCTGGTATTTGATCATCCACATGATGTCTGTCTCTGTTGTGGGTTGTAGTTTAATAGCACAAACAGAGATATTAGATGTGAAAGCATTATTGACATCTGATGATTGTACTTCCCAAACTATTTTCCACTCCAAACATTAAACCTTGTAGTAATGCAAAATGCTAAATTACATTCACCGCTCTACAAAGCATTTGGTTTGTCTTCGCTCCGAGCATGATTTCTCTCTCAGCAGAGGTTGTTTGAAACACTCAGCGAGCAGGAAGGCAATTTGAATGTGGCTCTCATTTTGGTGCTTCAAATGCAAAGAGTTTGCTTTAATTATAAAGCACAAATAGCCTCTAGACTGCAGCACAGTTTCACAAGTACAGTTTTTGAAGCAAGAGGAATGTTTAAATTGAGGTTAAAGGAGGACAGCGGGTCTGTTGGGGGGAGTTTTCTGCACTGAGAATAACTTGTGGCACTACACTAGAAAAATGGAAAGGCAGGTAATTGATCAAGACTGACAGGTTGACTGTCAGGGTAATAAAAAGTTCCCCAGTCACACACAACTCTGTGACGTTCAACAAGGAGATTTTTTGTAATTCCTGAGAGGTCTCAATATAAACTATAACTTCTTATTTTCTTTTCTTTTCTTTTCTTTTTAAATCTGGACTTCTTGTAAAGGGCATCCTAAAGGGAAATATTGTTTGTCTCCTTTGTGAATGGTTTGTAGTTGTACTCTCAGCACATTCACAGACATATCCCTTTATCTGGTATACTATATGTGCTATTCCCCTTTAATTTAACCACATGTCAGCTAAAGACTATGGGAAAGAGGAAAGTCAAAGTTTCCACACTTTCAGTCCAGGCCATATAGATAAGTGGTTGTGAAAGAGGAACCAAGCAGATGAAAAAATTCCCTGCAAACTTTTTCCTTCCATGTCTGCTATTTAGACTGCAGAGTGAAGATGGGAAAGTGTCTTATAACAGAGAGCAGTTGATGGTTCTGTGAAGCTCTGTAGATGTGAAAGTTTGATTTCCAGTGGGCCGACACTGAAGTGCATGTACAGGCATGACACCTTGAGTAATAGTGTTTATGATGTGGAGTGGCATGAACAACATGTACATATTGTAATGCAGGTTTCCTTAAAGTGCATTCAACCTGCATTTAAACCACTGAAACCATAGGTCTCTCTCGTTCTCTCGCCCTTTTTATGTCTAGTCAGAATTTGAAAGTTGTTAATGGTATTAAATTTAAATGTACATTGCCATCCCCTCTCCTGACCTGTGTTGAACCTTGGTCTAGAGGAGGGATTTGTAGCCCGGTCAGGTGATCCATGCTCACAAATAGACTATCAGTGCGGCTTTAACCCTGAGTATTTCTAGGGGGTTTTGATATGATTTTGTTCTTTCATGAACGGCATATACAAAAAACGGATTGTATAAATATTCATAGAACAAGGAAAAAAAGAAAAGAATGAAACCAAAACAAAAAAATGTAGATTTAATCTGACATGGATTTATGAAGGGCTGGTACTCATTGTGAGCAGGATATGAAAGATGGACTAAACATTATGGCTCGGCCTTGAACAGCATGTGAGCGTTTCTGTGCAGTGTTTTATGCATTCATCAACCTGTCTGAAAGGTAAAGCCGTGGTTAAACCTTGTCTGACACACTGTACAAATTCTGTCTTAGAAGCTTTTCCGAGGCTTGTCCTTTTTTATTTTTCTCTATAAACCCTTTTTATCACAACAGACAGTTTGACTGCATTTCATTTAGATGAGCCAGCTCCAGGTTCCTGGTGTTGTGCATACTGGCTCACTGTCATGGCATTCTTGGTTACTTAATGGAATTGAGCCATTGTTAATGTTATTAGTTACACTTGTACTTTTTCCTGCTATGTGAAGTGAAAATATGTGCAGGGGGAAAAAAAGTCTGTTCCATGTCTAAGGTAAAATCTTTTCCTCTAGCTAGCCAGTATTGTTATAGTAGCAATAAACCATATATGTCACATTGCCTCAAGTAAATAAACAGGAGAGTTTGAGGAGAATGGAGCACACACTTGCTAGTTGAGTTAACTGTCACAGGATATTTTTGGAGGCATATATTTGCATACACATTGGCATATTTTACTTCCTTAATATTCTGGTCGGATTTGTTTGCAATCAGGTTTCTGCACTGTTGAGCAGAACCTTTTTTTTGTCAATGGTTTGCTCTTTTGTACCCCTCAGCTTTACTAGAAACACTGTTATTTAGATGTATGTGTTGACCCGCCTCTGTATGACAGGTGGCCTTCAAAACAGGATATTGGGATGTAGCTTGCACAGAAAGTGGCAATTTTGAGATTGAAAATGCTGAATCCTCCTTATTAATCTTACTATTGTCCATGGTGTTGGGCTGATACATGTCAGGATGTTGCCTTGTTGTCTTTAATTATCTAAAGACTGCATCTTACATAGTCGGTGGAAAAGATGGAAACTTAATTTTTGTATTGTCTACTCTTCAGTAGATCTGGAGACAGATGTCACACATGTTTTGGTCAAGTCTAAACAAGTGTGTGCTCTGAACCATGGCTCCCTCTGTGAACAGTAGCCTTAGCATACCAGCAATGCAATGCAGCTACATTTTGAGTGACATCACCGCAATCATAGACACTCCCCAGTGTTCACCAACTAGTTGGCTCGCTAGCTATGTTAATATATGTGCGAATATGCGCGCGCACGCACACACACGCACACACACGCACACACACATATACATACATACACACGCACACACACGCACACACACATATACATACATACACACACACACACACACACATACACACATAGACACACATATATACACACACACACACACACACACACACACACACACACACACACACACACACACACTTCAAAGACTCACTCAGAGCCATAAATTTGTTCTCTGGAGGTTATGAAAAGTGATTCTTGTGTTGTGTCGGAAATGATAAATTAATCATATCCAACAGCGTTTCAGTAAGTGAGTTTTCCTTAAGGCATCTCTTTAACTCTTGAAAATGATGGTGTTGGGGGGGGGCACATATTTTCTGTAACAAATGCCTGAAAATGCCCTGAAATGAAAAAGCATGTAAAACCAAGGATTGCATTATTTTAACTCACATGGTCTGTGGTCTGTCAGAAAAGGAAACGGCCCCTTTGTAGATTTTGCTGAGAAGTTCTTGGATAGTTGCCTCTGATAGAACTGGGTGTCAGTTTCAGTGTTTGACTGATACCTGAAGGTAGCTTAACCCCAGAGTGGCTGCAGATAAAGGTAATGGAATCTGTTGAGGAACTTCTTGTAGCCTCAGGTTAGGGTTTGTCTTGAAAAAGAAACCTCTGCAGCACATGTACCAACATGACACCATTACAGTGCAACTTTAATCCCTATTAGTGAACTATAAATGTAAGCCAGCACTGCCCCCTTCTGGTACAACATTTTACTTAAACACCAGATTTAGTCATGACTGCATGAAATCTATAATCAGACACATTTTTAAGGTTTGTAATTTCTTCAGAATCAAAGCTGTTACCGTAGGAACTGTATGCAGACTGTTTACATCCAGGTTGTCACTTGTGTATGGATTTATGAGGAGCGCAAGATGAGGAATGAATACTATGATTGAAAATAGTCAACAGCTCGCTGGAGGCTGTACAGAGAAATGTTGTGTGATTATCATGTGCACACTGCAGCACAGTGTCTCTTTTGTTGTCACTTCACACTATGACTTCTAAAAGTCGAGAGAAGGTGTGTGTGTGTGTGTGTGTGTGTGTGTGTGTGTGTGTGTGTGTGTGTGTGTGTGTGTGTGTGTGTGTGTGTGTGTGTGTGTGTGTGTGTGTGTGTGTGTGTGTAGAAAAGACTGTGTGCCTCTCTAGTTTCTCTTACACAATATGAAACTTCATGTCTTTAATACACTGACTCTAAAAGTGGATGTAAAGTCTTTAAAAAAAACATCTGTTGTTTAGAGTACATCTGCATTTTTTTTTTTTTTTCAAATGACCTCCAGATAACAACTTTATTTCCCACCCAACATGAATGTAACATCTGGTTAAATCTTTTCAACCCAGCACAATTATACTATTCCCATTTGCATCCCCATGGTATATGGTGACGTTCTCCCTTTTACCGTAATCGTGGCCTCATATTATGCTACTGTAAGGTTAAGGCCTGCTGTGATTACAGAGTTTGTGACCACCCTCCATGGCTGAGGAGGTAGACTTTTCCCTGGAAATTGCTACCTACCCACTGCCTTTTGCTTCCAATAAAACCTTTTATAGAGTGTGTAACTGCCATTTAGGACTACATCCCTGTGTTTGGCCATGTTTAGAAAGGCCTGAATCCAAAAGAGCAGAGAAATTGGTTGAGAACCTCAGGAGTCGTGTCCACTGAAGGTGGGAGGAGGATATTTAGCTTTCTCAGCCTCTTTACTGACCAGGAAGTACACACATAGCACATGTGTACACAGACGTGTGAAGGACAAGTAATGAATTCCATTTATATAATACACATTTTAACTAAACAAATTTAAAAATGTTGACTTAATTAAATACACAAATTGTTCACAAGTAGAAATACTTTATTTCCCCTTCAGTCTCATTTCTGTGAAATGAGGGGAGATTAGTTTAAAAGAGTTCAGTAAAAATGTATTGTTTAAGTAGTTTTTTAAAAACATAATACCTACAATTGGAATTTTAAAAAAGTGTGTATAGTGGCTGGTTTCCTTAGTCTTCTGTGATGTAAACAGTATATGTTTGAGTTTTGAACTGTTACTGGGAACTTTGGGAAATTTTCCATATTCCCTGACCATTTGTCAAACAAACAAATTATCGATTAATTGAGAAAATGATCAGCAGACTGCTTTCATCCCTACAAAGGTTTTTGTAAAATGAATAAAACATCCTGCCCCTTTAGTACTACTTTGGCTTGCATGCAAAAAATGTGACTAGACTTTATGTGCAAAGTAAATGCACATAAAGTCACTCCCCAAACCATGCTCTGGTTTTTAGACTCGGTCACAATTGAATTCTGTTTCAGTAGATCAGTCTCAGCAGACATTTGCATACAAAACAAGAAAAGTGACTGTGCAAGTGAAAGTATCAGCGGTCATTGACTCCTATTGGAAACTCTCGCCTCCTTTTTGAGAGCAGCTTTGTGCCTAAAAGGAGAACTGTGTAGTTTTTGTTTAGTTTGTTTAATTATTTTTTGTTTCTGTGCCATACAATGATTCAGGTAGCCAATCATGAACTACTACAGTTGAATGCTTTGGCTTGTGGTTTGCTTTGTAACAAAAGTCTGCATGCAGCGTCATACACACACACACACACACACACACACACACACACACACACACACACACACACACACACACTGCAGTAACATCCAGATTAACTAGATTTACCTGCACTGGCATAGAAACAACCTCTGTTGGATGTGAGTCATACTTGGGCTATGAACATCTTTTCAGCTTGCTTTAAGTTTTCATGAATGCATCTTTATGTCACACACACAGTTAACTGCACATTTAATCTATTTTGTATAAAAATATATGTATGCATGTCTTTTTTCTTTATGTCTGTTTTTCACTGCTGTATTTTGACCATCAGGTTTGCTGGAATGGGTAACCTGCTAAAAGTCCTAACAAGGGAAATAGAGAACTATCCACACTTTTTCCTGGACTTTGAAAGTAAGTCTGGCAGCGGAGTGAAACAAAGGGAGAAAAGATGGATGGAGAAAGAGATGGGGTGTAACCCGCTCAGCTGTTTCCTTTCTGTCAGCAGGTCTCTGCTCCTGATGACGAAGCCCTGAAGGAGTCTGCTTATGCTCCTCTCTATATCTCCTTCGCTTTCCCCCTTCTTTTCCTTTCACTCGGTCATGACCTCCTGCTCTTTCAGCTCTGATCTGCCTAATAACTTATTGATGACTTTCTAACATCACACATACTTTTCTTCCTTTCTCTTTCTCTTTTCTCTCTTGCAGAAACCAAATGGGGAATCTGTTAAAAGTGCTCACTTGCACAGAGCTTGAACAGGGGCCAAACTTTTTCCTTGACTTTGAAAGTGAGCGCAGCTTATGCCTGTCCTTCTGCTAGGACCCCCCCTCTATACATCCCTTATTCATTTTTGCTTTTAACCTCTCTTTAGCTGCTCTGACTGGTCAGGGGTCAGCCTATTCTACTATTGTATGTTCAGCCTTTTGAATTGATTATAATTCATGATTGATTTCAGTATGGTTTCAAAATCCATTCACTCGATTCTAAGTTGAAGAAGAATGGAGCTGACCCTTGACCTTTGCTGTCTGCTTTTACCAGCTTGTCTGCATGCTTCCCCCTGTATGTGCACTTATGAGAAGACATGTTTGATACATATGTATGTGGCATAATGTAATTACTAACATGTTATTATCAAGTGTATTATATAGTGTATTACAGTTTCTCTTCCTGCATAATCCATAGTTTAATTATATAATCAGTCTTAGTTCAATACATGAATGCTGTTAAGATAGAAAACATTGCATTACTGCAGTAAAGTGTTAAATCAGCTACATTACTGCCCCGCTTCCTCATATTAAATAGACAAATTGGCTCATTTTTAACATGGCAAATAAATGTGCTTTGGCCGTTTTTGAAAAACCTCCTACAGGAAAAAAAACAATACGCCTCCACAGTGGCATTTCAGCCACTCTTACAATATAGCCAACCTCAAGCTTTGTTTATTCAGCAAAGAGGAAATGATGGGAGTGGACGGCTTTTGAAATGCAAAACAGACCCCAGACACAGAGTTTTAATGTCACTGATGCTCTATATTTGGAGCTGCCGTTCTCTCTCTGTGGTTATGATAGCCAAAGCCTAAGGAGCTTCACTTTCCTGCGGATACCTTCTGATTATTTATTGCATGTTAGAACTTGCATTGGCTCCCACAGTATTAAAATACATTCAGAACAGGGGAGCAAACCAAGTTTGCCAGTATAATGCAAATGAGTGATGTCCTTATTGAGACCATGCAGGAAACAAAACGACTTGTCCGTAGGTTGCAGGCATGGCAGGGTGCAGTGGAATTCTGTTTATAGACACATAATTCAGTCATTATTATGCAGTAAAATTATTAACCAGGTTCTACTGTAGCTCCAGGTCTATCCAAGAGCTTGCTCCAGCATGCTTTGGATTCCACTGCACACACACACACTTGTATATTTCACTGTAGTAGAACATGTTTTCTGCTCATACTGCATACCTCCATACTTGTTCTTTTACAGTCAGCTTCCAAATATTGCTGCTTTGAAATGCACTCAGAATTCTTTTTATTGTTTTCATTTTTGTGTCAACAGAGAAACGTGACTTCTTTGAGCTGATGCATTAAATGCATCCAGCTCCAGTGTATTCAGTTACACAAGTTAAGATACATTATGGATACTTTATTATGTGTGTGGAGCCATTCAGTCTACAGTAGAGTGCTTTCATTGTTTTATAGACAATTCCAGTCTTATCAGTGCTTATAAACGTTTGGGGTTTGCATTTCAAATTAAAGGCATCACTCAGGATGGCAAATTTTGGTGACTGACTGTTGATGGACTCATGTGGATGTGCTAAAAGCTAAACATGTTTACTGAAGTGAAATAATGCTTTTACCTTTGACCCAAACACACTTCATTGTGCTGATTGTTTTTGTGCTCCTCTTCTTCAAAAGAGTTCTAGATAGAAACTTTGAGTTACTTTTTAGTGACAAAAACACTCAGCACACATGCCCATGTTCCCCAAGTGATTAAAACACGTCATTATTATTTATTTAATGAAAGCCCTTTCACATCAAGCGTGAAATTTAGACTACAAAACTGATAAATGCAACATTAAATCTGCTAAAATAAGTCACTCGCAAATTAATACTTGATGTGAAAAGGCAAGTTGGAAATGTGTTTGTATTGAAACTGACTGCTGCAGTAGCTTAGCTAACTTTTGTCCTGGTGTGTGTGTGTGTGTGTGTGTGTGCGTGCGCTTTGTGTGTTAGATGCACAGCCGACAGAAGGAGAGCGTGAAGTGTGGAACCAGGTGAACTCAGTCCTCCAGGACTCCGAGAGCATCCTGTCTGGCCTGCAGGCGTACAAAGGAGCCGGCCAGGAGATCAGAGATGTAAGGAATATACACTCACATACTGATGCTTAGTGTTGATGATTATTATGCCTCTAACCATGGATGATTCTGCTTTTTTTGGTTTGTTCATTCCAGGCAATTCAAAATCCCAGCGACTTCATGCTGCAGGAGCGAGCCTGGAACTCAGTCTGCCCGCTGGTCATCAAACTCAAGAAGTTCTACAGTTTCTCTCTCAGACTAGGTATGGTCACAGTGTAGGACAAAAAGTCTTGTCTTGTATTTCCAGTAGCGGGAATATTTAATTTATTTAATAGATAATATCATAGTTAAAGTTTTAATCTTTAATCTTACTGAGTCACTTTCCTGGTTGAATAAAGGTAAAGTAGTGTTCCCTATCTTATCTTCATGCATTAACTTACATTCCTTAGGTTGTCTTTAATATTTTTTTTGCCAAATTCTTGTAAATCTTTTATAATTTGTTATCATCTGAGTTATAAGAAAATGTTCCTTACAGTAAATGCAGAAGTGAATAATATACTGTGCCTAAAGTTAAGGTTGTACAGTTAAGTTTCTGAAGCAAACTGTTACTTTGCACTTTTCCAACTATAGCGGATATTTTCAATAAGAAGTTGTATTGTAATACAAGTGATACCATAAAAGTTGGTGATAAGCAACTATGGGAAGTAAACTCATGTCATAAAACAAAATTAGTTGACTAGAAAATGAAGTGTTCAGGTCTTTCTTTCTCTTCTGTCAAAAAGTGTAGTGAAAGAGGTTTTCAGGTATTGCAGAGACTTGACATCCACACAGCAGCTGACATCTTATCTGTGTGTCTCCGTGTGTGTCTCCGTGTGTGTCTCCGTGTGTGTCTCCGTGTGTGTCTCCGTGTGTGTCTGTGTGTCTGTGTGTGTGTCTGTGTGTGTGTGTCTGTGTGTGTGTCTGTGTGTGTGTCTCCGTGTGTGTGTCTCCGTGTGTGTCTGTGTGTGCGCAGAGGAGGCTTTGCAGAGTTTGTTGGAGTGCCTGACATGTCCGCCCTTCACGCCGACTCAGCACCTGGAGAGGGAGCAGGCGCTGGCCAAACAGTTTGCAGAGATCCTCCACTTCACTCTGCGCTTTGATGAGCTGAAGGTCTGCCGGAAACACTGACCTGTCCAACTCAGTAACACACACAGAGTTTCAGTCACTGTATGAGATAATATGGTGTTCATTCAAACATGGCTGAATGGGTTTTAGTCTAAGTTGACTGTTGTCTTGTTTTCCTTCAGATGAGAATTCCTGCCATCCAGAACGACTTCAGCTACTACAGAAGAACCATCAGTCGAAACCGGATAAACAATATGAACGTGAGTTCTGTCACTTTAGATCTACAATAGCTGGCACTAGGCTGACGACCACCATTCTGTCCTGGGGTTCTCATAGCCACATATTTATATCCTACAGCAGTCTTTGATATTTCTATGTTTAGTATCTGCAGTGCTTCCAGTCTAAGAATGACACACAAGAAGGTGGCAGGGTTCACTGTTTAGAGGTGCGTTTTATATCACATCAGAGTGATCTGTACAGTAAGACCACCTCTTGTGTTTGTGTGTCTTTTGTTTCTGCACCTGCAGTTGGATATTGAAAACGAAGTCAACAACGAGATGGCCAACAGGATGTCTCTGTTCTACGCTGAAGCCACGCCCATGCTGAAAACACTCAGCAACGCAACCACAAACTTTGTGACAGAGGTGAGAGGTTTTCACCGTTGTTACAACTGTCAACACGACAAACTACACTGTAATAGTCTTCTAAGTAAGCAAATCTCTATCATACTTTATCATTTACACGAAGGGAAATGAACCCTTTCAGCTGTGTTTGGATGAGAAAGCTAAGTTCCACAAATACAAATATATAAATATTACAGCTGCTCGAACTTTCACAATGATTCACACTTTGTTGCATCACATTTCTTTTTCTTTTGAACTTCATATCCCATGTTTGTGAATTAATCATTAAATAATCAACAAGCATATTAATCAGTAAACTGTGTTTTATCTGTCTTCTGTAGAACAAGACTCTTCCACTGGAGAACACAACAGACTGTCTCAGCACTATGGCCAGCGTCTGTAAAGTCATGCTGGAGACACCGTGAGTCATACTGCTTTTACACACACACACACACACACACACACACACACACACACACACACACACACCCCCACACACACACACACACACCCACAACCCCCCACACACCCACACCACCCCACCCACACACACACACCACCCAACCAAAACAAAACACACAAAAACAAAAAACCAAACAAAAAACCACACACAACACACACACACACACACACACACTAGAATGTCTTAACTTAAAGTTGAAATAAGAACTTTTAAATATATGGCAGCTGGCTAGAGGGAGATCGCCAGAGAGCCGGAAGTTTCTGGTGATCGTTAATAAGAACCCACTTGCGGTTTGCTATATTTTATGCCAATATTATATTAGCAATGAAACATCAAATATCACAATATAAAGTGTGTAAAAGGTACACACCCTGCTTTGGCATGAGTGTCAGTGGTTGTTTCCAGTCTACAGTTGATAGGCACAGGTTTGTTTACATGCCAACAGAAGAGCATATTAAAGGATTCAGTGTGGACAGAAAGCATCCAAAGTAACGCAAGTTGACGTAATATTCAGACGCTCGCATGCAGTTAGGATACAGTGTTAGTGTTGACTTCAATGGCTCTTATTCCATGATTCTTTCCTTCTTCTTATCCTGTTTCTTTCTCTCTTTAGAGAATATTCAAGTCGTTTCAGCAGCGAGGACACAGTCTTGTTTTGCATGAGGGTCATGGTCGGAGTCATCATTCTTTATGACCACGTCCACCCCAACGGCGCCTTCAACAAGTCCTCCAAGATAGACGTAAGACACACACACACACACACACACACACACACACACACACACACACACACACACACACACACACACACACACAGTGTAAGAGTATCATTCTGGACCTGTTTTATTGTGCGGCTCTTGAGTTCATGTTTCTGTTCTGTTTATTTCTCCCCAGATGAAAGGCTGCATAAAAGTGCTGAAGGAGCAGCCGGCAGACAACGTAGAAGGCCTCCTGAATGCCCTCAAGTAGGTTACATTGGATTGTGAAAGGGTATTTTCTGTCTTGGTTTGTCACTATCACACTTGTTAAATACCAAGTACATTCACTGGTCTGAAAAACACATTTTATTCAAGTTATGGAAAGTGTGCATTTCAGTGAATGGTATTTTCTGATGTCTTCTTCCTTTATGAAATGGATCAGTCTCTCGGTTTTAAACTGAGCTGTAAATGTACTGGGATTGATCAATGTGGATATTTCCATCGTGGATGACTGCTTTTATGCTCAGACAAAAAGGACCTAGCTATTTTATAATAACTTTAACTTGACCAGGGTCCATGTCAATCAGTCAGACATCATTAAATGTAATGGACAATAGAATTCCCTAGTGCGTAATAAAATATCCTGTTGGAGTGTCTTATCACAAGTGGATGATCTTTTTTCTTGCGAAGGTCTGTGCTCTGACCCATCGTGTGTTATTCTTTTCCTCCCTATCAGCTAAGGAAACGATCTCTTTTAGCTTTTACAGAACCCTCCGCTACACCTTTAACACATGTAAAGCCTCTGTTGTTCCATATTTTACCTCAGATAACGGTGCTAATGGGCGTCTGTGGATCTTCAGTCTGCCTTATTGAAAGACCCACTAACGCTCTTTAATGTTTTTCTCCTCAGATTCACCACGAAACACCTGAACGACGAGTCCACTCCGAAGAACATCAGGACGATGCTCCAGTAATGTTTGTTCTTTTTTATAAATAGATATGAAGAGGATCAATGCTCTGACCTCAAATAAGATGTATATGTTTACATTATTTAAAAAGACTCGATGTTAATACTTGTATTTGCATAGTCATTCCCTCCAAGCTATTGAAACCTACAGAACATGTACCTTCTTCTACTTCGCAACAAAACAAACAAAAATTAAGCATCACATGAATTGCCTCTACTGTTAACAGCTGTCAAAGCACAAATGATGGATACCTATCAGCCTTATATAACTGAGCTTTGAAACAGCACTTGGACATAAATGAACAAGGCAGCATAAAAATGTCCTTTATTTAATCTTTTCAATCTTTTATTGACAATGGAATTAATTTAGTTTACAGGTTTTAGTCAAATTAAACTTGTTTTTTTGAAGCAAAATCTATCTTTTTTTGAAAGAGCGAAGATTTTAAATTCTGTCACAGTTTATATCAGTGAGAATTCAACATGTATTAAAACAGGTGAAGTTGTTTCTGTGTTTTCACTTGAGATTTAATGACAATATGAAATCAATCAATGTTAAGGTGGACATTTTTGTTGAGTGAAGGGCTAAATATTGAAAGCAGATAAGGGATTGATTGGTTTTATGTATGTATTGCTAAAAGCATTAGGGTGTCTTCTGTTGTATTTGTCTTTGTTTTTCTAACTCCAACCTGCAAATGTTAAAATAAATCCACTGTGAACATAAAACCTACTTTGCACATCCAGTAAGATCCAGTATGTCAAAGTGTGCTTCAACTTTGAGGTTTTGCTGATTGAAAAGGCGGTGATAATGAAACACGAAATCAAATCAACCCACCAAATGTTTTATTTAACCGTTTTGTGGCAATGTTCTGAATGATAGTTGCGTATTTCGCCATGTTTTAAGTGACTCTTTGTGGCTTTTTTTATTGAACAGAAAATGCATTTCTCTAAAAGAAAAGCCAAAAAATCTTGCATTCTGAATTAATGATATGTGCTTTTAAAAAGAAGGCTTTTTAAAAAATGTCTTTCCTTAAAGGTTTCCATTCTCTCAATTTTTAAAAATTGTTTAAGCTATGAATCTTTTCCCAGACGGGTTAAAGGAATAATTCACCTCGTCTCCACTGGTGAGACCAATGTGATCAAGTTCATTGTTTAAACATGAATTTTGATATTGTTTTACTACATTTATTGAGCCTTCTATACATCAAACTATACCCAGGGTTATTTTATAGCCTCACATTTGACAGAATAGCACACACCTCATAACATACTTTGCCTTAAATTGGACTACTGAAGTCAAAGTTAATGACTTTAAAAACTTGTGTTGCCTTTACCTCTGGTGATTATGATCACTGTCACTGATTATAGCCAATATATAATACAATCTATTGTGTATTACTGATATCCTGCCCCCTGTGTACTAACATGGATATTCCTGATTGTTGTCCATTTCCTCAGTCAGTGTGTAACAGCAGCTCCTAACTTACCTGCTCACAAGGTCGGACAATCCCACCATCTGTAACTGTTGCACACTGCACAGTTCGATCGTGGCTCATTTGTACTGTTCTCCCTCAAGGCCAATGACTAAGATGAGCGTTTATTAGAGGATGCAACAAATAAATACTTCATATACTTCATCAGTTGTTGAGACACATTTTATTTTTTAGTAAAACAGCTTTTCCAGAGGAATAACTGGGCAGATTCCTCAAATTAACTTTACAAATTAACTTGCCCACGCCAACTGTGATCTTACAATATGGACATGTATGTGGCTTATCAAGGAGCACAGCATTGCCTTAAAGACAATATTTTTATTTTTCATCCACAACACAGAATTAAATCATTTTTATTTTACCCATAAGCCATATACTGAACCATACACATTCACATTAGGTTCATTAACATTAAATTAACATGTGAGGTATCTACCATTCATTAAGTCTGTTTATTTTTTGATCCTCTTGTATTTAGTAATATATATGCGTGTGTGTGTGAGCCATACTTTGAATGCAATGTTTTATATGCAATGAGTGAAAACTGTACATGGATGAGACTTGGAGCGAGGTGTACATATGATACTGATATTTCATATCTGACTGAAGTGGCTTTAAGAAAAATAAAATGAACATCTTCTGTCATGAATGATGTACACAAAGCTTCCCTCTTTGCCCAAGATATGCTACTGTGTGTTGAATGCCAGATGTTGTTTTGAATACTGAGACAAAATCAGTTTTATGTCTTAAACTGACATTATTGTTTAATAGTTTGGAGTTCAGACTCACTGTTTATATAAATTGCTTTGGCTTTGTATTGCATATGGAATGGGATGTGTGGATTGGATAATAAAGGTGGTACATTTCTTATACAGACATATGTTTCCTTCAGCTTTTTTATTTGCCACCAACAGGAAACTTAGCTACAGAGACTGAAACAGTTTTTTGTTCCAGGCAGTAACATTTCTGCTGTAAAGTTGGGCATTTTAATATGCGGCCTCATGGAGATTGACTCACTTCTGGAGCCAGTCTCGAGTGGCCGTTGGAGAAACTTCAGCCACAAGATACACAAGATAGAAACAAAACAGGGACCCACTCATCAAAACAGTGGTTGAGAACTCCACAAGGTACCTTTTTAGGCATAATATCTGTAAAAAGTTAATTAACAAGCAAGTAATGTGTTAAATCAGAATTGAACAGAACTGTTAAAATATTCAAAATACAAACATATTATAACTATAAAGCTACTAACTAGTTATACCTCATGCAAAATACTGTTTTACAAAATGTTCTGGCTCATGAGTGATTTTCTCCTTTCAGTGGCTTTTTATTCCAAGTGTAGAGTAAATGTAAAGTGTACATCATCTGCTTTATATCTCTTATCTCCATCCTATTGAGCCTCGAAAGTTCTGTGTTCTTTTCTCCATCTTGTGCGCACAAGTTAATAATTTGTGTCAGTGACTTTTGTTTCAGCTCTCTCATTTCTCTTTAGAAAATAAAAACATCAAATATCTAAAAATACTTTTAAATACTGGTCATCCATCCGGATAATCCTAGTAGAAGTATAAAAATAAGGTCATTTTACCAGATATGTTAGTCTAATAGTAATATTACAGGTGTACTAAAAAATCTAGTGCAAAAATCTAAAGAAAAATGGATACTATGACTCGTATTTAAAAGTATTTTTAGTTTTTATTATCTAAAGAGAAGACAGGAAATAAGGACAGAGATGAAACAAAGGTCACTGATACAAGTTATTAACTTGTGCACACAAGGTAAAAAATATGACCTTAGAATGCATTATATGAGCAAAAGATATTAATCTTGTCCTGAAGCTGCAGTTCTGTTGTCCTCCAGATGATGGCGACGTGCTTTACTCCATATCTGGTGTGTGTGTGAAGCAGGCACAGTCCAGGGCTGAGCTTCAAACAGTGGTGTAGCTGGGATTCACAGAAAAACATTCACTTCATTAGTGATGTTTCCACTTTAGGTTCAAATTGCTGAACAAAACCATTATTATGTGAGGGAATGTATTCAGTCAGTGTGAGACATCTGATTGGTCAACAACACTGCTGATAGTTCACAGCAGCTGCTGTGATTTGGGTAATTTGATGATGCAGATGGTTGCAACATCTCAACCAGGGGCGTGTCCAGATTTTTTTGACTGGGGTGACTCAAGTGTGGCACTGACTTATGTGTCTCAGCCTTCCAGCCACTACCAGTCTAAACAATTCCAGTCCTGTTTAGGGATCCCAGTCTGCAGAAATATTCAAATACACTACTATTTATACCATAAAATGCATGGAATTAGCATAAAGTTAAGTTAAGTTGCAAGTCTTATTTAACTTTGTCGAGTTTAAAGTCATCCAAATTGTGACTCAAATCCACACGTCTGCCTAACAATATCGGAGGTGTAGACAAAATAAAATAATTAAATATTTAATATTAAATAACATAAAAATAGCTTTACAGACACTGCTACACAGATGTTTGGTCATATTAGTTTGCCTGCGACATAGCAGTGATCCTCCGATGTGAATTATGTCTGTCAACCTCATTATATTCCTGTAGGATAGTTTCAACTTGTTGCCATTGTTCCTCTTTGTTGATGCAGCATGTTGATGTGTAACTTTTGAGACCACAAAGACAAATTTCCTTCCCCAGTAATTATAGCAGCTGGGTGAATTGAATAATGAATAAAGGTGTGTTCAGACCTGTAGGCTAATTTCAGTTAGGTCAGTTAGTTCAGGGGAAAAAAATCCTTTTTCACAGTTAAAGTTAAAATGTCTGCCATGAATAAGGTCTATTATCTCCAATGAAGATGATTTGTCAGACTGCTTTTCTGATGTTAAACATAATGAACATTTCAGCTGGCGGTGGCACAAACATGCCCCACATCATCCTGCTGAATGTATACAGAGTACATTCACATTGTTAGCCTTTTCTTACCACTAACAGTTCAGCCCAATGAAGATAGACTACTAGACACTACTGGGGGGTAAGGCACTAAAAGGTACAAAATCTACATAATTTTTATATTTCGTCAAATAGAAGTCCTGTTCATTAGAGGGAACCTACAATAACTATAAAAATAAAACATTCAGAATCAATCATTTCACTCTACATAAAACATTTCTAATAGGGTCACACACTGCACACATTCTGAGACTTTCTTGCAGATTTAGTCATTTGAAACCCAGAATTTGTCCCCAATACATTTCTTGCTGTGCGGTTACATCATAATCAGCCCAGAGGAGTGGAGCAGTTGGGGTTACTTACTGGGAACGCTCCGGTGCGAGCGCTGGGACGCCCTGAGGGCCTCCACGCTCAGCCGGGGCACCGCTGACCTCACCGGCCCTGGACGGATCCCAGCGTTCCACTGGGCCAGGCGTAGCATGCTCTTGGCGGTCTCCTTGGTGACGGGGTGGTCGTGACCGCAAACCGCCCAAGAGGGTCGAGATTGGGTCTCATGATGATGATGATGATGGAGATGAGGAGGAGAAGGAAGAGGAGCAGGTGGATGCTGGGCTCTGCAGTTAGAGCTGAGGAACATCTGGAGGAGAAAGAAACTCAGGTTACCTTGGTAACCAAACATTTCATGTTATATTTCACATTACTTCCTGTATCCAGGCAGTCAAATAAACTGGTGAGGATTTCACCACAGCCTGAATATTAAATGCCACAGTGTCCTCTATCTCACCCTCTCCTCCCCTCCTCCTCCCTCAAACCCCATCACCAGCATAATTTGGCTTCCCCTCCGCCCCCTCCCTCTCTGAGCAGCTCATCATTAACACGTATTTCTGTGTAAACGCTGCTCCATAATGCATGATGCCTGCTGGTTGCTCAGTCCCCGGAGAAGCCGCCGCGTTTATCGTCTCCCTTTGGTTCAGACAACGGGGTCACAGTCACAGTGGGGTTGAGGCGGTGGTGATGAATGGAGAGAGGTTTACCAGGGATTTGGCTTTGCGTAGTTTGTAATTCGCCTCAGAGAGTGTTTTCTTGCTCCCGTCGTCTGGTTTCCACGTGTTTCTGCGGCAGGTGGAGGTTCTGATGTTTGACTGCCTGCAGAGAGACATACATATAACATTATACTTTATTATTATATTACTATGTATATTGTACTTATAATTCATGCCTGTACTGAGTTGCACTAATGGACCTCTTTTGCACAAATATTTGCAGAATTCGTTTATATATTCTACGGTATTGTTGTAGTTGTAATTGTAGTTATTGTCCTCTTTCCTCTCAGCTTGCTCAGCTCTGTGCTGCTTTAGTGCAACGATTTCCCCTCAGGGATCGAAAAAGTCTTATCTGATCTTATGTTATCTTTACGAGGACTGCACAGGAGCATAACAACTGCACACTTTGTTTCTCTGCTGAGTATTTCCACATGCATTTCTGTAGGCTTTTTGTAGTCACTGTGGAACAATTTGATTAGATTTATGGTTATCACAGTAGATTTGCAGAGCATTTACATACACTGTAAATCCTACTTACATATCTTAATAAAAGAAGTTAACATAAGTTAATCTTCTAAAAAAATGAAGTCTCTCATTCCTGTGAATTCAACCCAACTCAAAAATGAATTGTTGAAGTAATAACTTGTTTAACTCTTTGAGTACAGTTCAATTTGTGCAGAATTTTGATTATTGGTGATGTAATTCTAGTTTGTTCCACTGTCTCATTTTCTTAAAGTTGACTTTATATTACAAGAATGTAGACCCTGAAGCCCCAAAATGAATAGGCAACAACTTTGATAATTGATTAATTATAAATAGTTTTTTTTTTTTATCATATGTCATATGACAGGTGATGTAATAATTTGCTTTAGTGGAAGAAAACTGACTATACATTTGTATGAAGAAGATGCATTAAAAGTAGTCTTACTTTATTCAGATAAATAACACATTTTAAATAAGTTTGAAGAAATGCTGCATATATGTGTAATGGGTTAGTTTCAATTAACTGAATGAAATTGGTACAATTAACTTAATTTACTCAAGTTACCTTAACAATAAATACTTGAGTTACTTGTACTCAAATCAAATATTTTTTCATGCTTAAATTGTTGGAGATAATACATTTGAACCTTGGTTTCCTCAAACAATTTGAGTTGAAATAACTCATCACGTTTTACAGTGCAAAGGCAGACACTAGTGTAAAATGAAAGTCACAATACAGCTAATGAAGAGAAATGTGTGTCCTGTGTCGGCTCATCCCCATGGATTACCGTTACCTTGCAGCATCTAACTCTGTGAATTAAGTATTTATGTCAACCAAACCAGCAATGGTGATTGTTGGAAAGACTAAAAAAGTCGGTTTTGGTGAGTTTTATTTTGTCTCTGTCCCATTGTTTTGAGATGCTGGTGCTCTAGTGTGACATCCAGTAGCAAGTGAATTTTGTATATATAACCTCTACATTTTACCGGTTAAACCTGGCTATTTGAAAGCTGTTCATCCCTCCTCATGTTCCCTGCAGTCTTACGCTTTGAGGGCTTGTTCATTGGGGTCCAGGTTGTCCAAGTAGTTGAAGCGTAGCGTGTCTTTAGGACATCTGTCAGAATCTCTCCATGGTGGCGGTGCAGTTGGCCGCTTCTTCCTGGAGATGTTTCCAAGTGGCAGGGTGCTGGATTCTGGACGCTCCTCACCGAGGAAGGCCAGTTCTGACAGATCCTCATGCCTACTGCTGCTGGCTGACACATGTGGAACCACAAACTGCTGCTGGGATGGGACAGTCTGGAGGTAGATAATAGACTTTTTTATAAATGTTTTATCACTGCATTGAATGTAGTTACCCTCTAACATCAATGTGTGTGTGTGTGTGTGTGTGTGTGTATGAATGTGCGTTCTGAGTTATAGTGCTAGTTTTTTGAGAAAGAAATCATGAGAGCTGAATCACTGATCCTCAGACCTGTAGCGAGGTTAGTCGTAGCTCCTGCACAGTCTGGATGTAGTGTCTCTTCCAGACGCCCTGCTCGAAGGGCGTTGGGGAGAAGTTGATGCACCAGCCGAGCCTAAGACACTTTGGCATCCACAGTTGGTCCAGTTCTACCATGCTCTTCCAGTGCCAACTCACCTGCCCACAGAGGATTAAAGAGGAACCCTCAGCTGGCTCAGGAACAGTTGAGTCATCCATGTTAACACATCGCCTATACATATGTGTGTTATGGTCCGTGTGTGTGTGTGTGTGTGTACCTGGGCACATCGACAGAGGCTGCGTGGGTCCAGGAAGGAGAAGAGGTAGAGGCAGAGGGCTCTGGGCAGCAGGCAGGTGAAGTCTGCGGCCTGCAGGGGGAGCCGTCTGCTCAAGCTGAGGCTCAGGAACTTCAGCTGCTCCTGAGAACAGCTCAGCACAAAGTCCTGCAGCACGGCCCTCCTCTGGCTGTCAGACCACTTGTCAAACTGACAAAGAGATCAAAGAGCAGGACTGTTTCAGCTGAATGGATCTGGGTTGGAAAAGACAGGATGGACAGCAGAGTGTGGTTTGTAATGACGTGTGTCACCATTCAGCTGCTTCAAACTCACCCACTTTGCCAGAAGGTTTCGCCTCTCTTCAAACACCTGAGGAAGAAGAGTGCAGTATAGTAATCACATCAAACTGGTTAACTCTATAAAGCAATTCTTGAAATATCCCCTTGAAATCAAGGAAACAAGGTGGTATAAACAACTTTTGTCCACAGGGGCCGCCAGAATTAGCAAAACATGCTTCTTGTAGGGTCTTTAAGCACAGTTTTGAGGTATTTGTACTTTACTCGAGTATTTCCATTCTATGTTTCTACTCCACGATGTTTCAGTGTGAAATATTATACTTTTTACTGTACCACATTTATCTGACAGTTATAGTTACTAGTTACCTTTCAAGTCATCTTGGACATAAAAATTATTTCACATATGAAAGGCTTCCAAACGTATTGCTACTTTTACTGAAGTAAAGAATCTGAATACTTTTTGCACCACTCAAACAAAATAAAACCTGTATTGTGACTATATTAATAAGGTGTTTGGGCTGATAGCAGTGTTTCAGGATTGAGGAGTTGATGTGACCTTGCTGTTGGACAGCGGGTGGTTCAGAGGAGTCCAGGTGCTCAGCGTGGTCTGCATCTTAGCACAGCCTGCAGAGGACCTCGGTGCATTGGGCATCTTTGGGTTATAGCTGGGGGAAGAGGATGCGCTAAAATACAACAAAACTTTATTGATATGTCTGCGGCTGTGTGTATGTGCAACATACAGTATCCATCATTGTCAGAGTTATCCCACTTTACAGGATAATGTCTGAGCACTTCAAGGCTCATGTTTACATACCAGCTTGTATCTCACTTATAATGTATAAAGTCTTAATGCCAAATGATAATCCTGAACAAAGGATCTCCATCTCTTATTCTTGATATGTTGTTAAAAGAAGTTAGGAAAAACATTACATTTCCAACCCTGCAGTGTTATAAGAGTTAACATTACTGCTGAGTACCACACACTCCTCTGGTATTGAACTCACCATCAGTTCTCCTCTGCCGGCAGAAGGAAATAAATCCAACTTCTGAACACACTCTCTCTCTCTATGTGCGTACTCTTGATGGCCTTTGTGTCCGTGTGCCCAACTCTTCTTCTTCTCCCTCTCCTTCTACCCACTTCCCTGTGCACAGTTTACTTGTTTCCATAGTAACAGTGAGTGTACTCTCCTTACATGGACTGGCTGTCACAGCCTGTCACACACAGAGGGGGGTGCTGCAAAGCAAACCACAGTGGAGTGTGTGCAGTGTGCAGGCGTCACTGGCTCTAATGATGACAAATGTAGTGCAGAAGGCCTGACTCTGCAACTGCTAGAAAGACCATCTGGTTCTCTGATACTGCAAAAAAATACCATACTCAGCCTGTATTCTTCAGAATATACTTTAAAGATATTTGGAATACAATTTAGACACTGGAAATATATCATTTTCTTATGCACTGTTGATTACTTACATAAAAACCTATGCCAAATGTTCATTTAAATACATGTGACATGTAAGTATTCAACATTCAGTCTTATTATTATTATTATTATTATTATTATTATTATTATTACTACAATTATTAGCAGCTTTTGTTCGTAGTAGTAGTATAGCAGTGTATTAGGCTTAATACATTGACTTGGGTAAATAATGTAGGCGTTGGCTCTGTTTCTTTCAACACTGCCATGCTGCTGTTGTATGAATAAAAAGTTGAACCCGCTGCTGTAGGCCCACTGCTGGGACATGTTGGGCCTATTTCCAGTCGCTGCTCGGTCCAACCACTCAGAGAAGTTTTTCATTCAAAAGCAGAGAGCCTGCTCGCCCTCGGATGGGCGGCCGCGCGCAACGAAGACGGAAAACCTGCTGTGAAGAAAGAGGCAGAGCATCGTCAAGTTACACACACACAGACCGACACAGACCGGAAACCAGCCCGCGGCCCTTCAAAGTAAACGACATCTTCCATGGCAAAAAAATGTTTGTGTTTTAGCTACGTATCATTATAACATATAACTTATAATTGTCTTTCTGATTTATGATCAGTGTAAGCATCCTGGGTAAAAGTAGGCTACCAGAACAACATTAGAAAATATTACAATGTATCAGCCAATTGTACTTAAGTAACAACAACCTGCTTGTTTTGCAGAAAAATACCCCCGCAAGTAATATGTTAATGTATAAATACATTATTACATAAATACTGATAATACTGCATATTATGTTAAATTTATTGTTGAAGCTGGTTGACGTGGAGGTCTTTTAACTACTTTTCACACCAATGTAGTTGAATCTACTGTAGGCCTGTGCACTATATTTAATGAGATCATTATTTGTTATTATTTGTAATGTTAATGTGTAAAGTAACAAGTAACTATAACTGACTGATAAATGTAGGAGTGAAAAGTAACTACAATATCAACCTTTGAAACTGGAGCAGATTTATAAAGTAGCATAAGCTAAATGGAAAGTATAGTAGCCTACTAAATCTACTTTAAAAATTAAATCATAAGATTAAAATTGTTGGTTGTACAGTGATTAAATAGACCCTTTAATTTGGTGCAACTACAACATTTTAACGAGTTTGGTGGCTATAAAGTAAAAATAAAACTAGATCGCTACCTCATTAAATGTTAAGTTTACTGACACAGAAATTATATATTAGATTTTGTCTTGTTTCGTTTGTTACTCCAGATTTGATGGCTAAAATGTGATGTGCTCTTCTGTACACATATTTTAAACAGTCAGGAGTCTCGTTGATGAGACTTTTATTTTGACAGTTTTGACTGGAAGCCATTTTGAAAATGTCGCGGGCTTGCCGCTCGGCCGAGAGGAGGGACAGACGCGGGGAGGAGGACAGAGGAGGAGGACAGGAGGAGCCGGGAGGAGGGTGCTGCTGGTGGAGGGACATTCACTCATTGTTACCAACTCGAGGAGCGGCGGAGACCCCGTCGCTACACGTGAATTTTCGGCACAACATTCAGGTAAAGTTGCCTCTAATTTAACCCGTTTCGCTCACATTTATAACCGGACTGTTTCTCATTAGCAACCGCCTCCGTCGCCGCCCGGCTCGGTGCGGTGAATTATAACACCGGTACGCAGCTTACATATGCAACGGTTACCATCAGTTAACTAACCGTCATCTTTTGTCTCCGCTGCGCTGCTTGACATTTCTATCTGTTAAATTCAGCCATTTTTCTATAGTGAGGCTGTAACAGCGGGAACCGGACCAGTTAGTTAGCTAACACTCACATTTATGAGGAGCAATTAAATAATGACTGCCCGGCTAAGAGCTATAAGAGGAGCCCGTTAACACTGGCGCACAGGTAGGCTAACACACACTGATACATTCACTGTAATAAACCTTTAAAATGAACCTCGGCTCGTCTGACACTTGGGTGAAGCAGACACAGGTTCAACAATGTGTAATTCATGTGTCAGTGAATGGAGAGGTATTGGGTTGTTATGGGTGTGTACTGTCATGTAAATGAAGCAGTTTCCGTTATGTAAAAATGGCTAAATTAAATAAAAAATGGCACAACATAATTACCTAAACTGTTTCTGAAAGGTGGGGTTCCTTTGGCCACAAATTGAAGTCACACCACTAAAATAATTAGAAATAGTCACATACCAGAAATGATTACCATTTCAATAAACTACCACAATAATGCTGTAAATATCCATGTAAATGTTTAAATGTGTTAATTATTCAGATATTTGTGTGAATATGTTGCTGTTCTTCTTAGTCACTAAATGATATATAGGCTGTTGGTTAATTCTGTTAATGTTATCATTCATCTACACAACCCACCCACCACAGTTAGTGACCTGAAAAGCAATTACCAACCCTCTTGAAACAGCCTTTTGTGTGTTTTTCAGCTGCAGTCTGTAATTAGTCTAATTTTCATTAAAAACACAAAAACATCCCTGTTCTAGGTTGCCTTTTTCAAAGCTTACTAGAGACGAGTAACCTATTAGTGGTGGATGGATACCAAATATATATTTGAACATTTTTGTGCTTTTATTTTCAGATTGCAGGCTGCACATCATCTCCATCTGGGGCTGTCATCGATATTTTCTCCAGAAGCGTCCTCGCTGCTGTCCATCGAGGCAGGAGAGGGAGGAGGGTGAGCCGTACAGCCGCGGCGCAGCGTCTTAAAGGACCACAGCATCTTTTAGGTGATGGAGGTCTTGTGACACGCTGCTGCCTCTGACCGGAATCCCCACGGTGATGGATGCCGCCAGCTTCAACCATGGCTGTGTTGGATTACGCTGCCCGGCCCAGACTGTTCCTCTGTGAGCTGAAGAAGAAGAAGAGAGACAGTCTTGGACACTCCTCAAGCCTTGTGATTTCCCTTTCCTGTTGAATGAGCCAGATGCTAACGGGGCTCAACCCCTCGTCCTAACCACCTTCCCCTGGGTCTTTCTTTTCTCCTGCTCTACGGACCAGTCATGGATCTCCTGTGGGTGCTGTCGGTGTCCATGTTGACGGCGTGCGTCGCCATCCCCATGGATGCGGCGGCGGGGAGCCACAGTCTGTTCACCTGCGAGCCCATCACCCTTCGCATGTGCCAGGGGCTGCCCTACAACTCCACCTTCATGCCCAACATACTGAACCATTACGACCAGCAAACGGCTGCCCTCGCCATGGAGGTACAGTACCCCGCTGACATGTGACAGATGCAAAAAGCTTTTTAAAGCTCCAGTGTGTGTTACTCAAATAGGAGACTGTGAGGGAGAGTACAGATATTTGCTGATATTCGGTGCTGTTGTCAGGGAGAAACACATTTACAACGTTTAGCCAATAGTGGAACTGCTCCCACCTACTCAGTGAGAGGGGGATATCTGGGATACATTAGGGCTTTTAATAATGGCAAACCTTTTAAATACTAGAAAATGCTAGGGAATTAAACAGTTGCAGCTAATAGAGATCATGGATAGACCTTTTATCAGAGGGGATAAACATATCTGATGAGAGTACAAATATCTATACTTTATTCATTACAGCCCGTTATATTTTTTCATGTTAAATTTTTGGTGTTGGGACACAAATTGTTAATTGGCGGTATAAACTGGACCTCAACCTGATCAAAATAATTTTTCAAACAGCAGTACAGCATGTTTTCATATTGTAATTTTATATTCGAGTCATGTATGGTAAAAGCTGGAGAGTCCTTTCTGTTTCGAGCATCGTTCACATCACCATTGTCTCGGAAATCCATTCACAGCCTCTTATTCAGAAGTGTGAGCCAGTCGTGTTTCGGGTTTCCACATTTCCCCCAAAACTGACCTTTTGAGATAACTTGGTTTATAAGGAAAATAGTTATTTTTACACTGTGACCTTTTATGTTTTGTTCCGTTTATTTTCCATTTCCGTCACTGACAATTTCTGAGCGCTGTCCCCTGGTTCTGTTTAGAGCTGAAACAGTTACCAACAACAACTGTTTAAATATTTTGGTCTTTTTTAAGCAAAATTACAGAATATTTACTGGTTCCACCTTTTAAACTGTGTGGATTTCCTGCTTTTTAAAATATTAAAAAAAATAATATATTTGGCATGTGATAGACAATTTTTCACAGGTTTTTGTTATCAGCATAAATGTTTAATGGATTGTGAACCTTAAATTGGAAATAACTAATAGATATTTGATAAAAATCCAAATTTCTGCCAGATTCTGATTTTAGCTCATTTTTTAAATTAATTTTTCGTAAAATCTATGGATTGGGAACACAAATAGGTAATGTCACAGCATTTTAAAAATGTTTTTAGACCTAAAGTAATTACAAGAAATAATTTTGAGAGAGGCCATTTTATATTTTACGCATAGATAGTAAAAATATGAGCCGATTGCTTGGTCCTTTTTTGTCATTAATACCCCCAAAAATGGATCAGTTTCATATAAGGTTTATAAGAAAACTGCAAAACCTTTATTTTATAAATGTGAGCCTTTCTTTTTCCTCTCAGTATCCCTCCATCTTTGTCCCTGCCTCTGAGCATTTTTCTCAGGTTCTTTCTATCTTTTTTTTTTCTGTTGTGACTCACATTGTTGTGGCTATACAGAAGGGAAACTGACACTGACACATTTATTCAAACAGAGTGAGGCACACAGACAGCATTTCTATCTACATGTATGTATTGTCAGGTCAGGACAATACTTTGTGATATAATTAGTCTTTCTCACATGTTGATAAGTGGTTGAGTGTGTCTGCTGCACTGTCTGCCCCTTGGACATCAGTAGCCTAGATAGCTATCACCACAGCTGACTGGGTATGTGCAGAGAGTTGGTAATATAAAAGTGCTAGCCTACTTTAATTTGGCTGCTCTAGCTCCAGGGACTGAGAGTGTATTACCAAAACATTAAGCAGAAAATTAAGTTTTAATACTTGTCCCTGGGGGCCATGAGAACAGTGCATTATTAAACGCCACTGATTTAACAGGGCGTGATGTCCTAAAATGGTTTCTGGCCGCACATCTGGTATGTTTACAGACAGCGATTTACCCCAACATGTAGGGACTCTTCACATCATTTGTTGTGCACCAAAGCCATTTTACATAACAGGCTTTTGAGCAGTTCGTCAACTTAGCCAGAGAGCGCAGATCCCAACCTGTTCTCTGATTCAGTTCGGTTCATCTGATGGATTAAAGCTCAGATTGTAGTGTTTAGTCCATGTTTTATTGTTTCTACGCCTTAGATTATCTATAGATTTACCAGCCACAGCATTTGACTGTTGTGGCTGTGTTATCCTCTTTGAAACGTCGAGTTAGGCATTTAAACACAATCACGGAGCAGATGCATCGCCTCGTTAAGTTAATCCCATCTTTTATATAGGCTGATCTCTCTGGAAGCTCAATCTATCGAGCAATTACTGGCCAAACTGCGGCAAAACATTCAGCTGAACTATCTGCCTGTCTGTGTGTGTATCTGTCCATCCATCTATATTTATCTCAGTTCATCCATTCTCAGCATCATATTCCCACTGGCTGCCGCTCCCTCTATCACTTTTACCCTTTGACACCCGCCCCGCCCTGCCTGGCACAGCGATGATGTCCATGTGTGGAGCCCTGCCGACCATCTGTGCCTGCTCCACTTCGCTGTACTCAGCGTACACACATTGAGTGAGAGAGAGAGAGAGAGAGACGGAGGGCGCGAAGAGTTGTGTGCCACAGAAATCCAGGGTTATGTAACCTCTGAGCATGCCCTGCCCGACTGTGGGAGCACGCAGCTTCACATCACATCACAGCCTCACTCGCATTTGGAAAAGATGCAAACACTCCCGTCTCTCCTGCCTCCGCCTGCCTTTCTTGTCACTGGAGAAATATTCCCTCTCATCTTCTGGATTTATTCACTCTGCCATGTCGGTTTTTTAAGATCTGCACAGAGTGATTTTTGATGGAGTCTTTCAATAAAATACTATTTGAATTTTAATGCTTAAATCAGATAGACGTATGTGTTTTTGGTAGAATGGTTTTGTCATTGCTGAGATGTTTCTAACCCACTGCTGTGTTGTTTTGAGGCCAGGTTAGCTACTTACGCCTAATCGCAGTGTGTGGGTTGCAGTGAACAGAGAGTGGTTTAGACGGTGTTCACTTTGATTGGTCATGGATCCACAATTAAGTCTCTTTTAGTGCTCAGAAATGCTCGTTGGGTTTGGAAAACACATGGATACCCAATAGGTTCCAACTAACGGAGACTACGCCTCTGTTTGGCTCTCGTTTTCCAGATAACTCGCCCTAGATCCAGTTCATGGGAGAATTCAAAGCCTATAAGATGTTGAGGGTAGCCAAATGAGAATTGACAGTTGATTTTAAAGGGAATTAGGTCCACTGAATAGCCATGATAATGATGATGAATGCCTTGCACCGTGGAGAAACTGGGAGTTGGATGGGAACCAACGCCTGCCGATCTCGCAGTTTTTGTCTAAACCCCCTGAAGTGGTGTCTTTCTGAATTCCTTTTTTCTTGTCTCGCTTTTCAAGGACTTTTCAAGGTTTCTTTTTTGGGAAAGTGGGTGCAATTTGTATCGTAAACATTCCTGTTGCTCTATCTTGTGAGATATACTGGTAATAATTCTAAAACTACAGTTTAATGATGTTCACTAACGTATTTCATGTTAGGCTGGTGCTCACTGTTGTGACACATGATTGTGCGGTGGTTGAGAAATGTGCTACAATCCACATTAGCAGACCGGATTTACAAAGGGATAAAAGACAGTTGTTTTTTTTACTTTACTGCACAAATACATATTTTATGGCTGTCTGTACAGGAAACAACACAAACAGGATTTCTGTCTCTGATGTTCTGTTCCGGTGTTCATCCTCGCTCAGTCAGTGATCGCTGACCGCTGAATGACCTCACAGCTGAAGTGGGACAGTGGCCTCGGGGCTGGGAATCGGCTATTTCTGTGCCACAATGATACTGTGCCACACTCATAAGATAAGTGGGAGCGTGGCGGATTTGACTGACATTACAAAAAGAAAAACAGAAACGGGGTAAATCCCCTTCTTTACAGATAGATACAGACTGCAGCTACAGGATCAATGTAAGGCTGTGTGGGTTCATCACAGTAAATCAATTAAGCTGGTATGAACTGTCCTTGGCATCCAAAGCAGATGGCATTTGGCTTTTTTTAAGGATTTTTTATTTGGGCAGAAAGCGTGGGCAAATTCTTATGATATTGTTTTAAGTTTTTCTGTTGCTTTTTAGAAACATAATTTTAAGATCTAGTGACGTTTTTTTTTTTTAATCTATGGTTGGTGCTTGGTGTGTTTACAGATAACCATGTATGAGAAATGCTCTGCATTATAAATGCATATTTATGTGATTTACATTTCTTGCTATGAAGAACTGAATGAAATACTAAAACCTTCAAATGAATTATCAAATCATATTTTTGTATAGAGACAAATGAGCATTGCCACCGTGTTTTTTATCGTACAGCTAGCAGAAGACCTCTACCAAGTGCAGAAATGTTTTCTGAGCTTTGGATCAAAGCATACCATTGCAGATATTTTCTTATTTGGTAGGCTTCTCAGGTCTTTAGCAGGACAAAGGGGGGTGGGGGTGACTTTCAGGAAGGTTGTATACATGTGATTATCATGGTAAAAGTAACAGGGATTGCTTGAGCGTTTCTTCAAGGCCAGATGGGACAAGCAAGGGTCAGGGCCAACCGAAGATGTTAATTAAATTAGATTGATAAGAAGGGCTTGTTTACATGAAGCCAAGGCCAAGCTAGTAAATCGTTTTAATGGCAGCAAGATAAAAAAGGGGGGAAAAAAGCATGTTGTTTTGGTGGAAATTCAGATGAGCAGGTTATTCTGCCCGTGTAGTCACAAGGCATAGTGTCTGTCATCTGTAGTAATATAATGAAATTTAAAAAAAGACTCATGGCCATGAGTCTTTTTTCAGTCATCCTGATCTCAGCTTTCCATGGTATTTGTCGCGTTTTGTTTTGTGTGTAGGGTGTGCAGGGACACAAAGACTAATCAGTGGTCTGCTTTTAATCTGCTTGGTCCCACTTACACTCATTTCCTCCTCCTTTCAGGTCGTTAAATCAGCCTCTTGTCTCAGGTTTACAACACATTCAGTTAAACTGTGTCATGTTACAGCTGCTGTGTAGAATAACCCAGATACTCCACCCATGCTGTGTGAATGGATTTGTAAGGGAGAAGTTAGGTGTGTGTGTGTGAGAGAGAGAAAGAGCGAGGAAAGTTTCTGTAAAATGCTGATGAAGCTCTCTGACGGCTGCAAGTCTGTTAAAAGCTGCTGCAGTGAACTAAAAAAGTACACCATTTAACATGCTTATTGTGTTAGGTAGTAAAGATGTATCCCAGCTAACACACACACACACACACACACACACACACACACACACACACGGTCTGATAAATCCTACCCAGCGTGACCCAGGCAATAAAAGAGCCTCTTGTTTTATTTAATGTCCAACACCGTGTTTATTGGCAGTGGACTGAAAGAGAAGCATCCAGAGAGCAAGTCGCTGGTCCACAACAACCTTTCTGTGTGTGTGTGTGTGTGTGTGTGTGTGTGTGTGTGTGTGTGTGTGTGCGTGCGTGTGTGCGTGCGTGCTACACATTGTCAGAGCGCGAGGTTTTCAAACATTTCTTAGCGGTGAATGACACGGCTGACTCGGTCGACCCATCCCTCCTCTCTCTCTCCCTCTCTCACCCACTCTCTCAGCCCCCCTCCCTCACCCGTCTCTTTTGTCCTCCCCCTCCCCCTACGCAGGGCTCACCCGTTGCCCAGGAAACGGTCTCAATTGTGCTGTTAACAAAGGGAGCAGAGGCTTTCTTGCCTCCCGGGAGGTGGTCCCCTCCGCCCCGCACCCTGACCTCCCCGAACCCTGCTCTCCTCCCTTTTCCTCCACCTCCTCTCCCTGGTGATGCATCACTCGTCGCCATGGCGCAGAGCTCGAAAATTTGGAGAATTGCAATGCCAGAAAAGGAGAAAGGAAGATAAAGGTGGGGGGGGGATGCAGACGGGGAATGGGCTATTGGAGTGAGGGAGTGGGGGGTGATGGGAAGAGAGGTGACTGGGAGGTATTTATAAAAGAGCAAATCAACACAGACCAGTTGGCCACGGTGAGCTTCTTTGTCAGCAATTCATCAGTCACAGCATCTTAGCAGCTGACTCGGAGCCTTCATTAAAAACTAATTACTTTAGCATTAGTAAGGTACATACAGCCACCCTCGGATTCATTGGACTAGGCCTCATTAATATTTAATATTATGACAGTCTTGGTCTGATTCAAAACACGCTGGATAATCTCAGAAATGTATGGAGGTGAAACTAAGGTCACGGCTGTTTTTCCTATTTCTTCAAAGGCAATTTGGAGATGAGAGGTTGTCGCCAAACCAAAATATGCAGAAATATGCAAAATCACATGTTAAGTAAACAAACTTATGTTGACCTCATTGAACTTCATGAAAATATAAAATATGATTAAGATAAAATTCCCAAGCGTTTTCCTTATTTCAGTTGGTGAAAGACTTCAGTTACATTAACTCTGTACACTAAGTTCAGACCAGTGAGAACAGCCGATATTAGCCATTTAATCAGAGGCAATTTACATCGCTGGAATGCAACCAGGTCCATGCAATTAATTACAATAAATGAGCTGTAGACTAGCGTGCCGGTAACGCACACTAGAGAATTGTATCTTTAGCACCAGATCATCAGTAGGTCTTTTTCACAGAAGACATTTTGACATTTCACAGTGTGAAAAGCACAGGTGTAAATAAAATTAATGATTGCTGAATTCCATTTTGCTGCTTTAGTTTCAGGGTCCTGGTATTGTGCATGCTGCCTCACTGTCACACTGGCTTACGGTTTACCTTCAATAGAACACAGGTGTTAATACTTACACCTGTAAGTTCAAATGCCTGCTGTGAAAAAGGACTATTAATGACGGCTTGAATTTTAGAAAAACAGTAGTTTTATTTTATGGCAGGATGGTAAACAAATTTACAGAATCGAAGACGTTCAACCAACCAGTCCAGTCGAGTCGAGTCTGATCAGACTGTTTATAATCCAGTCAAACATACATCGTTTATACTTAGTTATACATTTTAGTTTGGTTTTATCAAGATAAATAATTAAGTTTAATTTAATTATTTATTCTTGGAGATTCGAAAGTGTCACTCGTGTTGCTTATGTAATCAAGAGAACTTGCACTTGCAGCACTTGGAAGGGTCTTTTGTTTCAGTGTCTAAAGTCAGGCTCTATTCCTCAGGCGAGTCTGGAGTCTGACATGGGCCTTCTTTGGTTTCATTTTGCCTAATCTGTTGATATTTTTCTTGTTAACTAATATTTATTTTGTCCCATATTCTATATTTTATACTTAAGTAAGAAATTTGGCTTTGAGTTTTTAAAACATTTAAGCTTGTCAGGGAAACACTCCTGCAACTCCCTGGGCACCCTCCTTCCTGCCTTATTGTGACTATTTATTGTGATGTAGATTATAGATAATATTGCACAGCACTGTTTCATTTTAGAAATATCATTTTAATAGAGATATCTGTCAATTATGTTTTGAAGAATACTCAGTCAGCGTTGATAGGTGCAGCTAAATATCCCCCCTCCACGGATGGTTTGTGAACCTTCACTGGAGTCCCAGAATCCAACACTCTCCTAACTGACATATCTGACTGTGTGTGAGCCTGTTATTTCCAGAGTGGCATATTATTCCACATTTTTAGAGATCAAAAATCCCCTAACAAACTCCCCATGAATACGTAATGACTGTAGCAGCGGGATTGCAGCTGAAATTACATTAGCATACCACCACCACCCCCAGGCCTGCACCATTTGACAGAGTTGTGTATTACACGCTTGATTCTCCTTACACGGCCCGCTCTGGGGTGGAAAGCGCCATGACAAACCCCTGCCCATTCATCGGACCAGTGGTTCACCAGCTGTTTCCAGTGTGGCCATTAACATCAAATCCCCATGGAGAGTGCAGAGGCTCCGCAGGGCCTCGACATGTTGGTGTTAGGAGTTGTTTGGCCTGCTAACTGTGTGAGTAAAGCAGTGACCGGCCATATGTCCCATCTACCACCCGTCCAGACCTGCCCACTCTGGCTCACGTGATGGGTTGACTGTAATAAAATGGCTGAATGGAGATACTGAAGAGATGGAGGAGGGGTACAAATGGTAGGGGAAGGGTGGATGATGGAGGAGTGTAAAAATAGAAAAATGGGAAGCACAGTGAATAGGGAAAGTGTTTTTTCCCTAGTAGATCATCACTGTTTGTAGCCTATATATTTATTCAACCGTTTCCCATGGCATCCCTGGTTGTAGTACAGTACAGTGCAGTGCATTGTGTTCTATGGAGCATGTCAGTCGCCTGCGGGAATCAAACGGAGTGGAGGAGTGAAGATGCAAGCTCACTTTAACTGTATTAGATCATGTTTTAGTGGTTAACCAACGCTGACAGGGCACCACAGATGAAGTCATCGATGTCACAGGACCGCACACTGGCAACAAAAAGCAAAGGGAGTCACAGGGAGGATCGTCAGTACAGTAGCACCCAGTACCTGCAGGGTGGGGTGACATTCAGGATTTTCTGCCTTTCTGTGTTATTTCTCCCGAGACTAACAACATACTCCAGTTTCCTTTCTCTCTGTTTCGTTGACCCTGTTGTGCCTGACTTTCGCTGTAATGTAATATTGTTGAAGTATTTTATTTAAAGGGGAGTCATTGTTGCAAATTGTGTCTTTATCATTTCAAGCTATTGTAATGCTCTTATAATAACTAAAATAAAGAAGGATATTATTTATTACCTTCTGACCAAACAATTAATCTAAATAAAGGATACAATTACCATATTTATTGATAATCAAAATAATTGTAACTTGCAGCCCTAACTAGTTAAGTAGTCAGGTGAAGAGGAGTTTTGAGACATTGGAACAAGGACATTTAGCAGAAACTGCTTCTTAAATATCAACAAAATGTGTTGGGGTTATTTAGGAAAATAATAAGCTAATTTATCCTTGTTATTCAAAATCTGACTTTTGGTAGTAATTTGACAGCAAGTAAGAGAGAACTGATACAAAGGTTAGATTCTGTTTGTTGCAGTGCAGCCTGCCTCCACTATTAAACAGCATTAAACAGTAGAGTATGATTGATGGCCTACATCTGCAGTAATAGACCCATTTCAAGGTGGATCACTCTCATACAGTCGTGTTTATACGTCTTAGATAACTCTGGCTGATAGCATGCTACGAGTGCTTGTCTTATTGTGTCAACGTACAGTGGTGCTCAATGAAACGTGATGACTCCATTTGTACGGAAATTACACGATTGACTGGTTGATTGATCTCAGTTATGACAGGCGTGTAAGTCACCTAAATTGATCCTTTTTTAGAGTGCATATGAATATTCTGTTAAGACTCAAGAAGAGAATTTATGGATTCTGTGTGTGAAAATAAACCCTTGTCATCACCCATCCATCCCTGATCCCTCAGAGTGGAGGTGGTGAACCTGAGTCTGTTTGTCTCATGATTGCTTTCTGTCTCCTCCACAGCAGCTTAATGTCGTCTTGCTAGGAAAGCGATATGAACAAGGCGATGACAAAAGCTGCATGGATGTGGCTGTTTTGTGCTTTAACACCCATTATAATCCTTTTTACATAAACACATCGCATGTGGGTGGCAGACAGACATGCTGTCAGGAGAAGGATGTGTACCGGTGTTGTAGACATATGGTGGGAACACATTACAATAGTCCGTTCAAATCTGATTGCGGTTAATGTCACAAACAATTGAGAGCGTCACTGGTTCTGTAAAATGATTTATTGCTGCATCATGAGCAATGCTGCAGACATTTTTCATTTATTCACTGTGTACTATGTATTAAATGCAGGATTAAAGGGAATTAACTGTGCCTACCTCAGCCTAAATGAGCCTCTCTTATTGAAAAGTCCAATTTTTAGTTTTCTTGGTATGTGACTCAGATGTATTTTTATGCTAACATTTGGTTCAGAAATGAACAAAGACTCAGTGAACTGTTGAAACTGAGCTGTATATGTTTTTGTATAAACTACTCTGTGTAATAGTCAACCACAGCTGCTGCTCCTTCGGCTCTGTGAGTGTAGCAGCGTTTGAATGTGGCAGAATGGCCTCATCAATTCAACACTATCTGTCTTAAAGAATCATAAAAAATACACAGAAAGCTGAACATTGTCCAGGCTTTAGCTATCCCCTACATACTTTTTTCTAACATCAGTTAACAGTGGCCCGTGTGTGCGTCCTTCTCCCCATTTACACTGAAGAAGCAGACCAAGCTGTTTAACTTGTTTAAACCACAGTGATACATCCTCTTCAATATCCACCCCTCTAACAAACACAGACAAATTGCCCCCTGCCTATCGTCTCCTCACCCCTCCCTTCCCCCTCCCTGTCCCTGTCTGTCATACAGACCTCTGTCTTTAAATTTTGGGGGAGGGTGGGTAGCATGTGTCTGACTGACTTGGGTGTGGCTGTAACACCACCAACACAGAGGTATATGTAAATTCATGCATATAGAAACATGTAACCACGGGCTCTTGGACACATGGATTTGTATATATGCTTTCCCACTCACTCATTTACTAACACACACACACACACACACACACACACACACACATATGTACACACTCTCCCCTGCACATTTGCATATTAACAACATGCCCCACAGAGGCTTCCTGCGCTCACAACGCCTTTTGGCTCAGTTTATATGTGTGAGGCCATTATTGTGCTGGTACGTGGGTGTGTTAGCATGTAAATAATATACTTCCGTTGGTACTTTGGCTTATGTGTGTGTGAGTGTGTGCACGTTACCGCAGTGTGTCAGTCAGTCACAGCGTGGTCCTCCCTGTAACACAAAGGCCCTGTCAGCAGCAGCCCTGTGTGTGTGTATGGTGGGGGTTGTTGTGCTCCTCCTATCTGGAGGTTGGAGGGAAGGAAGAGAGGAGACAGAGGAAGGGGGGAGCTGAAAATCACCGGGGTGGAGGGGATTATTAGGAAAGAGGCCAGAGTTGTTTTTATGGATTCATCTCCAGAAACTGTCAGAGACATGCTCCACTGATCTCTTTGTGCCCCTCTTTGGCCCTCTCTGTGAAGTTGGAGCAACACTTCCGGCTTCCCAAACGGTTTCAAATAAACCAGTTTGTTGTTTAGTGAAAATAACCATTCTCTCTCTCTCTCTGTCTCCACCTGCAGCCATTCCATCCCATGGTGAACCTACAGTGCTCTCCGGAGCTCAGGATGTTCCTGTGCGCGCTCTATGCTCCGGTGTGTACAGAGTACGGGAGGATGACTCTGCCCTGTCGCCGCCTCTGTCTGCAGGCCAAGAGCGACTGCTACAAACTGATGGACATGTTTGGTGTCAGCTGGCCACAGGAGATGGACTGCAACAGGTTGGCACAACAGCAGTAATTCTTTTTCCCTGGGATTTATTTCAGCGGTAACAACCCTGCTGCATCAGTCATTTAAGCAGATTTTCCTTTTGTGAGAGGAGCAGATAAAAAGTCATTTATGACCACAGAATCAGAGAGGCTTAGAAGCTTAGACTACCAAGTTTCTGAGAAGCTGCAGTGTCTGATTTTGAGAACTGGCTGCTAAACAATTACATTTATTTCAGACTTCAGTAAATTAGTTTTGCAGTCAGATAATTGAATCAGTAAACCGCACATCAAATTAGAAACATCAGCAGTAACACAGTGCTGCAGTACAAACAACAACACTGCATTCAGAGGTGGTCACACATGAAACCCTGAAGACAAACCATTAAAGGTGGATGGTTTTTGTCTTTTTAGGTTATATTTTTGTTTTTAATGAAATATCAGTAAGAAACAGAACAAGTAAACATTTTACAAGAGTTACTTCTTTGCTGTTCCTCATCCTCAGGTACCTGGCTGACATATAACATACACAGCAGACACATACAGCCGGTGACAAATTAAAGGAAAAACCTGAGCGAATGAATGATGCTTTCATACAGGACACGAGGGGTCATTGAACTGATGAGAATGAAAATGATGTGACTGATGAGAATGGAGAGGGCTCCAGAGACTTGGAGGTTTATGTTGGTTGTTCTTTACATTACATAGAACAAAAGACATCAAAAGAAAGTAAAAAATAATCAAGAAATAAATTAATGGATAACAAGAAAAAACAATGAACAAATAATAATCAGTCATATCAGTAATGATAGGAACAGTCTCAGGTTTCTCAAAAAAGATCCCCACACACACTATGTATCAAGGCTGAGTCCTTACTGCAGCGGCCCGGGATCAATTCCAGCCTGTGGCCCTTTGCTGCATGTGATCCTCTCTCTCTCCCCCCTACCTACTCTGTCTCTCACCAAAAAACATCTTTAAAACAAAGAGAGCCTCACATTTACAAAATATTTTTATATAAGTTTTAAACATAGCATAAACATAATCCACCTAATGCAGTGGGAATGAGAGCAAAGAGAAGCATCCTTCCGTGTTTTTAAATTTTTTTTATGTTGGTCTTTTATTGCCTGTAATGGATAGTGACAGCTGAAGAGTGACAGGAAAGGGGAGCGAGACAGAGGGGATGACATGCAGCAAAGCACCATGGTGTCTAAGACAGACTGACTGAATGACTGACTGACTTGTTGCTGGTTCTAGGCTGACTGGAAACAGCTGCAAATCATCCCTAACTCTCTCCCCTCATTTCCTGTCAGATTTCTACTATTTGTCTATTTATTAAAGACAAAAATACCCCAAGAATATTTTAAAGGGACGTATTCAGCGTTGTGACAACAGTGATAATGAATATAAAGACAGTAAAATGCTCATTAGAATAAATGAGCAAGTTTAATTTCTTCCCCTACTCTACTGTACTGACATACGCTGTAATTACCAGTTTGATGTAAGGTAGAAAATGTATTTATCAAAGCTGTGAGAGAGTTTAGAAACTGGTTGGCAGTGCTGTGATGTTGGCTGTATATGTAATCTGTTGTTAAAGGCATTAACATCTGAAATTACCCTGAGATAACCTTTTCTCCTCCCAGGTTCCCAGACTGTGATGAGTCCTACCCCCGTCCTGTAGACCTCCTGTCCAGCTCTGAAACAACCGAATCCCCCGTCTCCGTCCAGCGGGACTACGGCTTCTGGTGTCCAAGAGAGCTCAAAATCGACCCCGAGCTCGGCTACTCCTTCATGGGGGTCCGCGACTGCTCTCCCCCGTGTCCCAACATGTATTTCACACGTGAAGAGCTGGCGTTTGCCCGCTACTTCATCGGGGTGGTGTCCATCGTCTGCCTGTCCGCCACTCTCTTCACCTTCCTGACTTTCCTCATCGATGTATCCCGCTTCCGCTACCCAGAGCGTCCAATTATATTCTATGCTGTGTGCTACATGATGGTGTCCCTGGTGTTCTTCCTGGGGTTTCTGTTGGAGGACAAAGTTTCCTGTAATGCAGCAAGTCCTGGGAGGTTTAGGGCTTCAACAGTGACCCAAGGCTCCCATAACAAGGTAAGAATGTCCTTGACTGTGTATCTTCTGCTGGTGTTCTGCTGCCTTGACATCTGTATTGATCCTCCACCTGTACATTCTCTCTCTGTCCCAGGCCTGCACCCTTCTCTTCATGGTGCTGTATTTCTTCACCATGGCTGGCAGCGTCTGGTGGGTCATTCTGACCATCACCTGGTTCCTGGCTGCTGTTCCCAAGTGGGGCAGTGAGGCAATAGAGAAGAAGGCTCTACTCTTTCACGCCTGTGCCTGGGGCATCCCCGGTGTCCTCACAGTTAGCCTGCTCGCCATGAACAAGATCGAAGGAGACAGTATCAGCGGGGTTTGCTTTGTAGGGATGTACAACTTGACGGCTCTGCGTTGGTTCCTGCTGGCCCCACTGGGACTGGATGTAGTGGTGAGGAAGAGTATTACAGAATTACAGATCATTTATCTCTCATGGAAGCAGTTGTTCTAAGTTGTTTCTAATGGATAATAGCTTAATGATCAAGTGAAAGAATAACAGTCGGTGCTAACAGATAAAAGTTTTTACCCCACTGTCTTACACAAGATGACAGTAAACCTCATCCCTCTCTCATATCATCCTAGGTTGGCGTGGCACTGCTGCTGGCAGGCATCGCAGCACTAAACCGAGTTCGCATGGAGATCCCACTGGAGAAGGAGAACCAGGAGAAACTGGTGAAGTTCATGATTCGTATCGCTGTGTTCTCCGTGCTCTACCTGGTCCCTCTGCTGGCCGTTCTGGGCTGCTACCTTTATGAGAACAGCTACCGAGCCATCTGGGAGACGACCTGGGTCCAGGAGAAGTGTAGAGACTACCACATCCCCTGCCCCTACCAGGTGATATAGCTGTATTTTAACATAACATTAATCATCTGCAACCTGTACTAGTCTTGACTGATCATTTCCGGTATAAATGAGTACCCCCATGTTGAGGTTTTCATGAAGTCAGGAAGGCAGGAAATGTTTTTTACTAGTTGAATAGATAGATATTTTTAGTTTCTTTGTTATAGACTAATAATAGCTAAGCTTGTCTGCATGCTGTCATCAGATGTTCTTTATTACAAACGCACAATGTAAGAATGGAGGACATCGTCATTACACCTATTACTTAACACATATGTAAACAGGATATTGGTGTGTATGTAATAGTTGCAGTATAACATGTTAGTGTTGCTATATGCAATAATCCAGAAAAGCCCAGATGAGCCCTCATTACTACTTGAAGCCCATATTAGTGTCTTGGAGGCACTGATAGTAGCTAAGATACTGATGCATTTATTCACTGACAGTCATCACAGTTTGCACAGATGTTCGTACACAGTAAATGCACAACTGGGACTTCAGCAAGGAAGACAGAGCAGGAGGTAACAGCTGGGAGAAGGCTGATAACTAACTGCCAGATGTGTTTGCATACAGAGACATTAGAGAGAAGGATGCTCAGTGAGATTGTGTATCCTGAATGTGACTGGATGCTGCGTGCATTCAAGCACAATGTCCACCACAGACTAGACCAAACAAGCACATACACACTCCCTCTCACAGCCGTATATGAGACAATGGGGTGATAATTGTCATGCTGCAGTAGCTCTGTTGCTGCACAGAGCTGCACTAGCCTCCGGCCTCAGGACACACACTGCATCTCATCTGATAGAGCTGTTAATAATTCAAACAGCTCTCCCGCTCTCTCTCTCTCTCTCTCTGGTATCACCCCCACTCTTACCTTGGCATGCACAACATGGATTCTTCTTCTCATGGCCGATATTGATTAGATATCTGATCATTTCACATTGTTGTATTTTAATAAGAAGTTTATAATGCACACAGGAGGGTAACAGAGGCTGAGATGTAGTGAGCAAAGATGGATGATTTAATATTCATAGCTCTGACCTAAACAGATCTAACTGACATCACTATTGTTAACAACAACAACAAACAACAGTTTTAACTCTTCAAATATTAATTTATTTAAATTCATCAAAAAACTTCACATACATACTTTCACTGGCTCTCATAGAATCTCAAGAATTATATAGAATATAATTTAGAACCAGTATTAGGATGGACCAATAATTTATTGGCTGTAATTTGATCTTAATAATACATAATAATTTAAATTTCCCATCACTGACCGGCTGATGGCATTTGGTTTCATTTATTTGCAGCACCACACACAGGTGAACTCACTTGTAGAAATGAGCTGAAATCATTGGCAACCTGAAAGTTGCAGCAGTGACTGAAATACAGAGCCCCAGCTGTGGGAAGAGAGGCACGGGATGCAGGAACAGATCAGAGCTGTGCACTTGATCTGTCGTGTATTCACTGCATTGTGTAAGAGAGCAGTGCAGTAATCCTTTTGTGTGTGTGTGTGTGTGTGTGTGTGTGTGTGTGTGTGTGTGTGTGTGTGTGTGTTTGTGGTGTGTGTGTGTGTGTGTGTGTGTGTGTGTGTGTGTGCAAGAGAGACAGGGTCAGTGGGGTCGAGTTCCACCACATCAGAACTGAAGTGCTGTTATCATACACTGTACTACAGTGTACTGTAGGGACGCTTCTTAGTGTAAACATCACACATGAAAACACACACACACACACACACACACACACACACACACACACACACACACACACACACACACACACACACACACACACACACACACACACAGTAAAGTCAATAGCGTGCATCAGTAGATAGCTTTGACTCAAAGTGCCTCTCTATATTTATCTTAAAAGCCTTCCTTGAGGCTCGGACCTCCACTCTGCTAAGCAACTCCTGAGTGATGCTCAACACTTCCTCTGCACAGCGCACACACACACACCCACACACACACACACACACACACACACAAAAACACATACACACACACACACACACACACACACACACACACACACACACACACACACACACACACACACACACACACACACACACACACACACGACTGACTCAAGCCACATGAGACTTAAAAAAAGGGACGGAGGCTGTGTTTTCAGTCTTACTAGGCTAGGCTTTAATAAGCTCCGTGCAGCTCTCTGTCCACTGAGTTGGATGTTGGAGTTGCAGCAGAACTGATGACATATAGCCTGTAATGAGGATGTTGGTCGTACTCACTCAGTCTCTTATCTCTGTGCTGTAATGAGCGTATCTGTGGATGGCTGAGCCTCGGGGCTCTCCGCCTGGCCCACTCATAATGAGGCCATCATGACTACATCTGTGTGTGACTGCATGAGTGCCTGCCTGTGTCTGTGTCTGTGTGTGTGTGTGTGTGTGTGTGTGTGTGTGTACATGTGAGAGACGGGGAGAGAGTAGGAGATCGTGTTTCTGTGGTTCACTGCATGCCAGCTGTAGTGCTGTTGCTATGGCAGAGAGCAGCAGTGAGGTGACTCACTCTGAACTGAAAGACCTCTCAATTTATGTTCATAGTTCTGAAACAATATATTGAGCCTACTTTCACATTGGTTTATATTTAATGCCTAAAAATGATATTTTATCCATTGACGTAGAATATTTTTTAATAATTTGAGGATATTTATTATTTACACTCTTAGTATGTCAAAACACATAGGATAACATAACCACATAAGTGTGCAGTACGGTTATGATAGCCTTCCTTACACCATAGAATGACCATGAAAGACAGAAGTGATGAGAAAATGAACAGAACAACAGAAACTCTTTCTTCTCTAGTGAATACACAGCAGACAGTAAGGAATATTAGTTATCAGCGGCCATGTGTCGAAGCTGTTGTTGTTTATGCCTCCAGCGAAGCTCTCAGAGATAATGAGAAGCCACAGGCACGCACACACACACACACACACGCACACACGCAATGAATGAACACTCAGTGTGGAAGTCATGTAGTCACAGTACTGCTGCATGTAAACATCAACACCTATGGACTAATTAAAAGGTTCATGCCTGCTGACAGAGTGTGTTCTGATGTTTTGTATTTATCAGTTCAACTTGGGTTGCTAACGTAATGCGGACATACGTGTATTTTCTTTCATTTCTGGTTAAAAATTCAGATTCAAATGTATTTCTTTATTTTTTTACTTCACCAGGCCAGAAACAAAGCTCATTCTTATTTGCTCTGGCGGCCTGATGAAAGGCAAAGGTAGGGACTATAAGAGAAATATCAAACGTTAAAAAGACAGCAGCACACATACCAAAAGCGTACCATCCCACCCACTGTCTACTTATGTGATGTGATTGCTACTCAACCTACGCCTGACCAAGCTCCCTTCCTCACATACACGTTCCACAGTGTGTGTATCTGCTGCAAACTGCCTCTCTACCAAACACACTCACTGTGTGTGTGTGTGTGTGTGTGTGTGTGTGTGTGTGTGTGTGTGTGTGTGTGTGTGTGTGTGTGTGTGTGTGTGTGTGTGTGTGTGTGTGTGTGTGTGTGTGTGTGTGTGTGTGTGTGTGTGTGTGTGTGTGTGTGTGTGTGGCGCTGTAGGTGGAGCGCACCAGTCGTCCAGACCTGGTCTTGTTCCTGATCAAGTACCTGATGATGCTGATCGTAGGGATCCCCTCGGTGTTCTGGGTGGGCAGTAAGAAGACCTGCTTCGAGTGGGCCAGCTTCTTCCACGGCAAGAGACGCAAAGAGTACGTACTTCATACACACTGATGGTGTTCTCAGGATGTACACTGTGCTGACACAGCTTCACAGAAATTGGTTTTAAATATATGATGCTAAATATTTTAGTAGCAAACTATCTTTGAAACTTCTTTAAAAGGTTTTGTTCCAGTATTTTAACTGGAGCAGGAAGCAAACATTTCATCTCTTTGTAGTGATAATTCAATTTATAAACGAGCAGCGGATTCTTCATCTCAGAATGTATTCTATCTATCTATGTTGCAGATTCAACACTGATACTGTTGGGAATGACAGAGCTATTTAAACCAGCAGTATCAAATAAATAATGCTGTATGTAAATGAAGCTACGTTAGTTAAGAAAAAGAAGTCCTTTGGACATAGTTACTGTGGGGGCTAATCCGTCCAGTGTATACTACATAACCACAACCTCCACAGATTGATTACTGTAGGTCTCCCCTCATCGTCCCTGTCTCGGCTCTCTAATGAAAGCAAAAGGCCAAAAGTTTAGTTTGGTAAGCTTACACCAGTGTTTCTCACATAATGCTGCGGGGGTACTTTTATTACAATTGTAATCAGAACTCCTAGTTCAATACAAAAATATAAGTTTGATAAAACAGTTTTTATTCAGTATTGCTATTTTCCATGCAGTCACTAACTGCCGTCAGGACCCTGACAGTGAATCCCGAGCTCACGTCTCTCTACATTTTAAGCACAATATATCACAGACACAGTTGGATGCAGTCAGTCGACAGCAGTGAAAGAGTGGAGCCGTAGCGCAGTGTGTGTGTGTGTGTGTGTGTAGATGTGTGTGCGGCTTGGTGGTGAACACAGGCCCTTCTCTGCGCTCACCCCCCTCCCCTCCAAACTCAGAGCATTAACCCCCTCTCCCACCGCCTGCTCCACACACTCCTCCATCCTCTTCTACCACACCCATCACCCAACCACGTTCCCCCTCTCCCTCCCGACCCTCCTGCGTCTCTCCCTACCCTCCCTGCCTCCACTCCCCTCCTCCTCCACCTCCACCTCCACCTCCACCTCCACTCCCTCCCTGCCCTCCTCCTTCCCCTGCTGCAGCAGGATGGTCAATGAGAGCCGACAGGTGCTCCAGGAGCCCGACTTTGCCCAGCTGCTGCTGAGGGATCCCAACACGCCCATCGTGAGGAAGTCACGGGGAACCTCCACCCAGGGCACATCCACCCACGCCTCATCCACCCACCTGGCCATGTTGGATGAACCGCCCAGCGCCAGCACCAGCCGGGCCGGCTCGGTTCGCAGCGCACGCTCAAAGATGAGCAGCTACCACGGCAGCCTGCACCGCTCCCGAGACGGCAGGTGGGTCTCAGATCTTTCAGAAACGGCCCGGGGGCTGTTCTGTCTTCGTTCTACGCTGCAGCTCCTGATGCTACGCTTCGTTGTTTTTCTTTGTCCCAGATACACAGCCTCCAGTTTCCGGGCCGCAGACGACCGGCTGCCCTACGGAAGCATGCCTCGCCTCAATGACCAATCGCAGTCGAGACAGTGCAGCACCAATCGCCTGGACAGCCTATCGCGCCACGGCTCCACCCAGCGACTGGAGAGCCAATCGCGGCACAGCAGCATCAGGGACCTCAGCAGCGTCACCCAAGCTGTTCTCGGTGTCCCTGGTAACGGGATCCACAGGGTCCTGGAGGAGGACGGAGCTACGGCCTGAACAGGAACCCAACTGCATACTTCCGAAAGAAGCTGTGACAGCTGGGTAGAAGGGAAAGTAGGAAAGATGACTTTTCTTCCTTCTTGTAGAAAGTGAAAGAATGTGTGAGGATCCACAGCGAGCGACAGAACGCAGACACCGACACCCGCTCCCGTTGAACTCAGAGCTGAAGCTCAACGCTCCAGTTTACTGATGACGTTAGATTAGAGCTACATGCGGCCATATATAGAGGACTGAGTGTGGATCGATGCCTTAAACCGTCCTCTCAGCTTTACTCGACCTACTAGCTGATCCCAAAAACTGAAGTTCAAAATGATTTTTGTCCAGTTTACAAAACTACAAGGGACTCTGGTCCTGATGGTGACCTGTGGATTGCAAACACTGGAAAATGATGACAATGCTGCACTGTTGGACCTACGTTACTGAGCCAAGAACAAAATGTGACCAACACTGTCAGACTGCACTGGATTGTTTTTTTACTTGTACTGTATTGTTTGTATAAAAGGACTCTGAACAGGATCTGAATGACGGTACTCATTACGAGTCTTCTCTTCTAGTCCGTGCCGTTCAGCGCTCGGGAGAGTGGAAGCAGGGTACTTTTTAAACAGATTTACCAGCTACATTGAAGCTGTTTTTCACCTCTTTAGCTGCTGATGTCTCCATTCTTTTTCAAATTGTAACTTAACCTGTTAAAAACCCTATTTATAAAGGCATTGTTTCACAGCTAAATTGAAAATCCACATGAAAAGTAAAAAAAGAGAGCCCCTGAACAAAAGCCCTCTCACATGTTTAAAGCCGTTTTTTATTCGATGTATTGAGGTTCTTTACTGCTTCATGATGAGAAGAAACATGTTTGAGGTTTTCCAGGATGCAAGGGCTGAATCCAAACTCCTGCCTTATGACTGTGTGTTCAGAAGTAAATGTTACAGGCTGTGTGATTGCATACAAAGTCAATGGAAAGAATGTGTTAATGAATCTGCTTCATAAAACGTAGCCACACACACAGTGTGTCCAGTGCCAGCTAGTTTACAGCGAACAGTCGGTACAGCGGCTGTCTGGAGGGATAAACCGTGCAGCGGTCGTACTCGCATTAAAGACGCCAGGCAACCATTGGCTTCTTCTGTCTGAACACACCTCAACAGTTTGAATAGATGGTAGTGCGCCCTTAAATTAGAGTCAGTTTCCAGGTAGTTTGTCCCGTTTAAAATGTGTCCTTACTTGTATAGCTGCTGTAAAATGTTAGACCAACATTTCCTCTAGTGGCAAAACTTGTGAATAGATGTGAAATCTGAACTTTTCTTGTTCATTTGTAATAAAGTCTTTTTTAAAGAACGGACATATTATATTTATGAAGTAATGACCACACAGTAACACACTGGGATTGTATTTGTAACAGCCCTCCGCTTTATTGAAATACATCGGAGTCAGGTTAATATAATGAGTTCTCCACATAAGTGTGGCAGCCAGTTCCATACATTATTTTTGTTTTGACCTTACACCTTAAATATTTTTTTTGTGCAAAAAAGAATCTACATCACCTGTAGTGGGTTATCCTCAGTAAAACGCCCAAACCGTTCAAAAAGGAGCAAGTCCAAGTAAAACAACAAACCGAAAACAAAAATGATTACATCTATAACATGCAAAACTGTACAAATTATTACAAAGCAATCCTAGAAAAAAAAAACAAAGTGTAATATGATATGAAAGAGCAAAATAATATAGAAGGTACTGTAGATAAGACCTCACTGAAATGCAAAGGCGTTTGAATTTTTTTTAGATTTTCCTTCTCTTAAATGTTTCCACTGTGGCACCTCAGCCATCAAAGCACCTGTCACCCTTTCATCTTTTTCATTTTTCTTTTTTTTTTTAACATCTTCTAGTCCTCACCACCTTTTCTTCCTGCTGTCTCCACCTGGGTCACATCTACTGTACACTACAGCCAGATTCATCTCTCCCTCACTCACTCCAGCCATCCATCAAACACACTCATTTTCATAGAAATGAAAATAATTCATTGGTTCTGACATTTCCTGAGTTTCTCTTCCCCTCAACTTTAACTGGGGTATCTAGGATCAGTTTTTCTGTACAATATTGGCCAATAATAAAACACCTGGCTAAGACAGTTCTCTCACCCCCACCTAATACATTCTACAGATAAACTCCAGCAGGAACTAAGGAGACTCACTAGCTTAAAAAGTTTCTAAGAGGTGTTTGTTTGGAATAAAAACCAGCTTAGTCGGACTGTGGAGCTCCAAACCTCTCCCCCTCTCTTCATATAAAATGGAATACTAAAAAAAAACACTTGGAATGGGTTGTTAGAGCTACTTTTGTTTGAACGGGGGAATCGACAGGAATGACCACCAAAGTTTTTGTTTCCCTTTCTAACAGACTGACAGGTGGAATAAACTGGAGGATTCTGACTCGGACACTGTACTGTACATTAGGCAATCAGCCTGTTCCCACAGAGGAGGAACCGGTTTCTCAAAAAGCCTCTGATGAGGACTAAAGACAACGCTAGTACGAGAGTACAAGGTGTTCTTCTTACGGATAAAACCACATTATAGTTAGTGTTTAATGTCAGGACAGTTTGAGCTCAGTGCACATTGTTCCCTTACACTTTTACCCCATTCTGCCCCGTGAGCAACCGCTCAAGTAAAATGCCTTTCGATCTGTCTGTAAACTGGAGGAGATGAACAGAGGTAACAGGTTTTTGGCTGTGAATGCCGTGCTCTGCAGCCATGAGCTGCCACACCGTAAAATGCTCTTTTCAGAGGCCTGTCCACCCTGCCAAAGAGAAACTGCCCGGAGGAGGGGGGTTAGAGATCCAGCCCTGTTCAGTTTACAGACAAGTAGCACTGAGGTTATTTTAACTGCGCCTCATCAAGACAAACGGAAATCAAGTGCTGACTTTCTCGCATCTTGTAAGTGTTTACATTCTCATTTTAGTGTTTTTATTCTTAAATCAAGAGCTCTTACAAATGTCGCTGTGTAACGAGCAGATCGACCAAACCTCATTCAGAATATGCAAAGGCTGTCCAAAAGACAAAATATAACAGCGTCTCCCTCTTTTAGTCCATTTTTGGTTAAATCGAGCTCAGCGGAAGGACTGATCTTTCCATCCAGACACCACAGTGACTTTTTACACACACGTTGATTAAATGATCAGAGCCGCTTCACCTCTAACAGTGAGAGGAGGAGCAGGACAAGGCATTTGCTGCATAAAAACACCACCTCAGAGTGTGTGTGTGTGTGTGTGTGTGTGTGTGTGTGTGTGTGTGTGTGTGTGTGTGTGTAGATACATGTGCGATAGGAGGTTGGTGATAAATGCACATGTTCACTCTACAGTACGGGCAGTAGTGTCGATTCATACACAAGTTTTCTTCACTCAAACGCAAACACAGTGGGGGGGAAAGAAAGAAAAAAAAACAATGCGTGTCATACATACAATATAAAACAAACACATCTAAAATCAATCAGTAAAAAAAGAAAACTGGAAAGTGGTTTAAAATGGCTTTTTGTGTGAATACAACCCCAAATCACTCTCAAAAACAAACAAAGGAAAATAAAAGTGAAGGAGGATTTTTTTTCTTTCCCGTGTAGTTCTCTATAGTATTTTCCTTATCATATATTACTCTCTACTTTGAACCTATGTACATTATTGTGATGGGAACCTGTGAGTTGGTCAGTTTGGTTGTACAGCAAAGTGGAACGTCTACACTAAGATGGAGGACGCGGTCCGGGGCTGCTGGGTGATGTCCCTCACACTGGACCAATGAGGAAGAGAGTAGCACAGAGGAGCTGTGATGATGTCATAGGAGCCGGCATTATTAACGCTGCTTTTTGCTGATGGTCAAAAATAAGAAATATTATAAAGTCACTGCACTTAGTATCATGAGCAAAAGAAAAAAAAATCATTGCTTTCCCTTCTCTCTCTCTCTTTTTTTTTTTTTTTAACATTTTCAATTTCTGCAGCACCCAAAGAGAAAGCAACTGAGGGAGGTGAGGAGGGGTCTAAACTCCACCCGTCTGATTCCGGTGATGAAGTGAACCTCCCTTTCCTCGTCTAAGATTGATAAATAAATTAAAATATTGTCCCCTAAAACCCAAAGGGTCCTATGTACAAGTACAAATCATTTTCTCTCAATAATAATCCTCTTCTTTTTTTGTTGCTTTGGGAGGTTTTTGAGTCTCTGAATGAATCGGGGGGCGGGGGGGCATGGACAGAGTGGCGTCAGTGAAGCTCGTTGCTTCGGTTGAGAGCAAACCAAGAGCCGAGAAGGGAGGTTTTCATTCCTATATCATTTGCCCTTTCTGAATCAACACATGCACACACGCTGGCCAAGCACATACAGCTTCTCTCAAACACACACGCGCACACAAACACACGCGCACACACTTGCACCCTCAAACATCAGCACCCACATGTACACTTCCACCAATTTTTGATAACGTCTCCCTCACAATTTCCCCTCAAAGAGACAACAGACTCTTAGTGTTTCTTGCCTCGGTCTTGGAAGTACGATGAGAGACAAACTGAGGTTGCAAAGGGGGACAAATGTTCGTCAGGAGGTGCAGTTCTCTGGGCAGTGAGGGGGGAGATATTCAGAAAGGATGCGAGAGGCTGCGGTGGAGGAGGAGGGTTTGGAGTCCTGTGCTGTCGGTCGGTCGGTCGGTCGGTCGGTCGGTGGGCGGGAATGAGAGGCTGGCAGAGGCTCATGTGTCCCAGCCCATCCGGTCTGTGCTCTCCAGGGACAGGGACTTGGTTTTGTGTGGGGAGGCCGGACTGGGAGGGCTGCTGAAGGTGGAACTGTTGGAGGCCGTGGAGTGACGGGGGGAGTCCGAGTCCTGGAAGAGGAGAGGAGAGGAAACGAGCGAAGAAAGAGAGAGTTGGAGATGAAGTTTGGGGGAAAAAGGGACAAGGAAAAAATCCTGCATTAGATGATGAAAGTAGTACCGTATGACATTTATATGAGCAGCTATAGTGGAGGCTAGCTTTCTGTCCGGGGGCTAATAAACATATAAACTAAATGATTGAGACGCTATATATTTTACTGTCTGACTGTTGGTGATGCCCCTCTGCTCTACTGCTTGTTATCAATGTGCAGTGATGGAAGACGGACGTAAAGTCAGATGGAATCACATCGCCCCCGCCCCCACCTCGCCTTCCACTGCATTCCACATCATCAGCAGATGAACAGCTCAATTGACCAGAAGTGATCAGCTGAAGAAAAACAAACATGCAGGCAGGCCAGATGACGGGGCGGAGGGGGGGTGGTGGTGGGGGGGATGTGGGTTTAACCTTCATACTGTACAACATACAGTATGCCCTGCATCGCCCCTAATGTGCTATGGCTTCCCTCTGAAACAGGAGGTTGGGCCAAACACTGGCCCTGTGAGGTACAGAATGTATGGCTCTCCTTCCAGCTCAGTGATAAAGTCCTCAGGTTAGGGGATGGGGGGGCTTATAATTATCTCATGTGCTGTATGAACACGTCTTTTTCCAGTTCAGTGACTCTGTGCCTGATTTCCTCTGATGCATCGTCTCCTGTTTGGATCCAATCTAAACAAACACATGTGGCCTATAAGCACAGCCTCATTTCTACCATCTACGGACATCCACACTCAACATTGTAATGTGGAAAATCCTGCAGCAGCACAAACACACGCAGCAGCCTTTCAGTCAATGTAGATGGGCAGTTTTCTATACTTTGCTGACTGTATGCAAACATACTGAACTTCTGCATACAGTGTGAGTTGGGAGGAGCACTGCCCAGCTACATTGTGTCAAACCTTTGTGTATGTGACATTGTGTTTAAAAGCTCTCAGCCTTTCCACCCATATTAACTAATTAGTCATTGTCGTCTGAAGCAGAGATGTGCGTCAGAGATCACTCCTAACCATGCAGCTGTCGTCATGTTTCCCAATATAGTTCAGAATCAATCACTCTGTCAGGTGATGTATTTGATCATTACAGAAAGAGTAATAGAAAACATCCTGCAGGGTCCTGAGCAGACTGCACAGTGTCCTGTGGCCTAGTTGTTAGAAACATGGGCGGGCTGTCGGGGAGCTGTGTGGAAGCAGACATGCTCTGCGATTGGTTGGTGTGGAAAGAAGTATGCATAATGGCCGAGCCGCAGCGTTGCACCGTTCAATCAGCAACCAAAGATGACACAGACCGGGTGAGACTGATGGTGCAGCTGATGCTCCGGTGAAAGATGTGACCAACCATCAGACATGACGGAGCTGAAATGGGTGCAGCGTGGGGGGGGGCTGTGGGACGGCCATACAGCATAGCATATGACTGTATGTTTGTGCTCTAAATGTGATTGCCT